AATGCAAAAATATATGTTAATCGAAAGCTGATGGGTTAATTTTATCAATTAAAGTCTACACCATATTCATCATCTATGGCGCAGGGTTTTTTCGCCCAGTGCAGGAGTGTGAAAGCAAATTACCGTAAAGCTGGCAAAAGAAAAGACACAAGAAAATCAATTTCCCAACACGAAATTTCCTCCGCATTCTCTCTAATTTGCGCTTAGTGCGTTTCCGTGTCCTGCAGCTGGCTAAAATGGCAGGAATTAAAGCCAGCAGTCTGGGGAGAGGGCCAAAAGGACTTAACCAGCCAGCGGGAAAAAGTTCGAGGCACCCGGGACCAACTCAAAGCCAATGCCGAAATCCCATCAAAATCTATCAAAATCGTTTACGCAAATCGCAAGAGTCGAGCTAGCTTCTAATGGATAAAAGCCAAGTCCTCCGATTTCCACTATCTCTTTATCCCCACTCGCTTTTCGGTTTGCTCTGCTTCCATCCACATTGCTCGCACAGAAAGCTGAAAATCCAATAAGGGATGAGCTGCTGCTGCTGCTGCTGCTGCCAGCAGACTGGTGAAAGTTTATTAAAAAAACGAAAACACTTCGCACCCAAAGTGGCGCCAACTGACAGCCTAGGTCACACAGCCCACTTCCACTTCCACAGAGAAACCCTACTGCACACCACCCGAAAACACCCGCACACTACAATGCCCCCAGGATGTCAGGCAGTCAGTCAATTGTAGTTTTCGTGGCTGTTACTCAAAGTTTTAATTACACAGTCGCTGCAAGGGTCCCTCAGGCGGGTGTGTGTGATGGTAGGGAGGGAGAGGGGAAGCGGGGTAAAGGGGATGGTGAGTCCTCGAAACAACCGTCTACAAGGCCACCGAAATTCTGGGGCTGTCAATGAAAGTGGGTGGCTGACTTGCTTGCGGCTGAACGCCACGAACATCAGCCCGGTCTTGTCGGTGTATGTGTCGGTGTCGACTGCTCCATGCCCCAGCAGATGTTGCCTTGTTGGCCCTTGTTTTTGGCCAGTTTGTCATGTTCTGCATGTGCATCCTGGACTGGGATTTATCATCTGCAGTTGGGGTTATAAAAGAGTCACTTCAAGATCATAAAAATACTTTAAGTTCGTAAAGTTATGACAGTTCAACATTGCAGAACTATCAATCTAATCAGTCAAATAACTCTGGTTAACCACTAAATTCTTGCTTTAAATAAAGAAGTAGGATTTTGGTTTTTTAATTGATTAAAGCACTTTGAAGCTTAATTACTAATGCAACAGCTTACCGTAAATTTATGAAAACAGTCCAAACTAAATATTTTATCTTAGTATAATATACAGTGCCTATTAAATTGCATGGTTTACTTATAAACTATTCGAATTATTGTGAAAAATATTAAGTATAAAATATTTCCTATTTGATTTAATTTCACTTTATATAAGTTACGTATGGTTTCAACTTAAATTAAGCTTTCAGACACTAAAATCAATTCAATCAAACCATATTTAAAATAACTCAAAACCCCAAAAGTTGAAAATTAAAGCAAAAAATATTTGAAGTGAGAATATTAAGATTTACTACTTTTTTTATTACCAGAGAAAAGCTCTTAATTTTAACCACCGAACTTAGCTTAAATTAAATTTATTTTCCCCAACTCATTATTGCAGTTTTCCAAACTGCAACCCGAAAACCCCTCGCCGCCTGGCCAAAAACTTCGCGCAATGAAAAGTCATTTGCCAGCCATTGGCGAGACGTGCGACTTCAGTGGCTGCCAAATTCTAGGGGGCACTAAGAGGACGAGGAGGAGCACCAGGGGGTGTACCAAGAGGAATACTAGGGAGCATAGAGGAGCAGGAAGAGGTCCAGGACCTCAAAAACAGCGGACAGGGGGAGAATGTGTCGCGGTTTGTCAGCTTGGCGCGTCGCCCCGATGATGGAGTGCGGCATTGTTGCCTTTTAATTGAAATTTCTTTGTGGACTTGGCGCGACAAAGCAGCAACAACAACAACAACAACAACAACAATAACAACAACCACTAACGAGTGCCCAGAATGATGGCAAATAAAAATGGACAAAAACGAGAACAAACAACCAGAAACATGGCGAAACAGTGTGCCAATGCCAAAGTGGCAATACATAATAATGAATGAATAAAACGGGCGGGAATCTCTGTAACATAGGTATTCCCTAAAATTTCAGAGGGATATGTTCAACATTTCATTCGGTTTGAATGATTTTTCGAAGCTCTTTAACTACTAGTTTTTTTTTAAATCGTTTGAATAGCACTATATATTTTGGGTAAACTTAGCTTATAGGGTATATCGGTTGACTATTGTACAACAAAAAAAAGCACTTTGATAACGGTATATATCAACTATATTAAACAGTGTTATGTAAAAACACAACCGAGCTCTAATAAACGATAGAAGGACTTACGTCCAAAGTTTCTGATTTAAAATGTCATGACGAAATATTCTCCACCTGGCCGAATTGTTGAACACTAAGACACTATTCCTGCCATTGTGGATGTGTTTTCAGCCAGGGCCAATTTTCGTGCCCTTTTTGGCGTTGTAGAAATCAAACCGATTTCGAATGCAATTGATTACCTCAATGGAATTCTGTGTCTGTCTCTCATCTGACTGATTACTTGCCATCAATACTCGGTCACTATTTTTTTACCAAATATTAATTTATTAAGTGCTATATTTCGATAAGCAAATGTCTGCCTTTCTGGGACATATACATACAAATATCACAGTGGGTGGAATCAGCGTATGCCGGTTTTATTCTGGATGGCTTTATGTCCGTAGTGCAATAGATTCCCCTGCGATTAATGGATAAGTAAGGCGAACATAAGGTAGCAACCTTAACAATAATTGTAATTGATATATAGGACTAGGGGAAAACGTAATGTGCCCATGATGTACTTACATCGCCTGATTAGTATTCTTAATTTTACTTAAATAATGTTATTCACGTTTAATGATAAAAAAAATTCATTTATACAGTAAAATGATATTATTTCATAATTCACTTTGTCCATAAAAAAACTTGTTAAAATAGAAAAAAAGCGTTTCAAATTTTACACTAAGAGTGATAAGTTCAAAAAAAAATATATGGCAGAGTATTTCGAATTTCATTTAGTTCGTTCAAACGGTCTGATCAACTTTTCGCGGTCGAGGCTGGAAATCCGTAGCATTTTTGCGGCTCAACGCAAATATAATAATAAATTTTGCATATTGCCGTGGCTATTATTTTTCATAAATGAAACTGTTGTCAATGGGCTGGGTCGCACTCTCATTCCTCCCGAATGTCCTTTAATGGTTGATTTTGTTGTTGTCATTGCCTTTGTTGTTGGTGTTTTTATGGGCATCCTGTTTGCCTTTTTGTCACCGTTTATTGTTTTTCCTGGCCAAGAATATTTGGGGGCTGGGCGCTCGCATTGCGGTCACTTTATTGTTGCCGGATACGTTCCGCCACATTTCGAAAAGTGTCCCCGAAACAGTAAAGGATGTTGAAGGAGGAGCGGCAGCGCGACGCGATGGAAACCACGTAATTTGCCGTCTGATGAAGATTTACGACACGAAAGCCGCAAAAATAAACGCCAAATACACGAAGGCCACATAAAGCAATCCCCCCAACCCCCCAAACCATCAACCCCGCACTCCGCCACCCACTGAGACCCATGATGGATGGACAGCCGGCTGAACCTGAACCCTATCCGACTTCCGACTTCCTATTGGCCCCCATTCTCCCCTCGGTCATTTATGTAAATTTGCTAAGAAAATTAAGCCCGAAATGAAGAGATTTGTCTCGGCTTTATTAGCCAAGATGGAGGAGTCTAGGCGCCGGAAGTTCATCTAGGAGCCAGCACAGCATTTTTGGCCCGGCAAATGTGCCTCCTGGGGCATGAAACTAGAGCAGGATACGTTCGTGTACACTGCGTTTCAAATATAACATTCAGTTTAGCGTCCTAGATGTGCACACTTATCCAATTTAAAAATATTACCTATTGAAGGTAGGAAACTTTTTTGGCATATTTATTAATGGAAATATACAAAAAAATCAAATAAATTCGGTAATTATCATACAACTTTAATTTAAAATATTAACGTTAAAAAACAACTAATAATTATTTTGAAATTAAAATTGAAAACTTAAGTAGGTACCTATTATTAGACAGTTTTACTTTAAAAACAAGTTATAGTTTTACTTTTAGAAAAGTTACAAGTAGTGCTAGCCCCTTAAGCATTTGAAGGTTTTACAAATATTTGTTTTCTCTTTATGTATCGTGTGCAATTCGTGGGCGTTAACGAGCCTTCTTGTATGTGTGCTCCAAATGAGGGGGCGTGGTGCATTCCAGACCCGAAAATAAGGACTAAACAACAGGGCCACGCTCGGAAACACGGATGCAGCATGTCTCATGTTAGTATCTGTTTTTAATGGCAACTCCATTAGATGAGCAGGATCAGGCTCTGCCTCTGATTCTGCCTCTGCAGCCCACCCACCACCAAGGCCGGATAAGAGCTGCCCGGCCCCGCCCCCTCAGCTTATGAATACTCCTGCGATGCGGCGACTGCTTGTCCAATAAATAATTCATGTCTGCCCAGAAGAGCCGCCTCCCACAGAATCCCCATCCGCCCATATGCCCATCTGGGCATCTCGCCCACATCCTAATGCGGATGCAGACAGAGGAAACTGGGCATGCTGAATCGGAAACGTAATGCAATTCGCAGGGCCACATGGAGGGCTTAATGTATGTATTCATGGCCTCGATGCCTTCCAGAATCGAGATTACAATTGCCCCCATTGAAGCCAAAGGATGCCAGGCATGGAACCCTAATGGTGAGATTAATTATTCTATTAACAATTTAAATGGGTATAAGCTAAGGGCAAACGAAGCTGTGACGTTCGATTTGAAATTAATTAATGAGCTTATAATTTTTCCTAGAAAATAATTAGCTAGGTCATAACACTCTCATTTTGAAAATAATCGGACTAAAGACAAGCTGTAGATAGAATGATACATAAGTAAATTTAATAAATAAATAAATTCAAGTTCAAAGGCCTAAAAACAAGGAGCTTTTTTTGTTAAATAATTAGTAATTTAAACTATTACTTTTGAAATATAATAATAATTTGATAAATATATGATATATTGAGAATCTTTTTTTAATTAATTTTAATTCAGGGTAAAACATATTAATATAATAATACTAGCCTAGAGGCAAAATATTGATTGGTGTGATTAAAATTATTCTCTTAACAATTTACATGGGGAAAAGCTAAGGACAAACGAAGCTGTGACGTCCGATTTGAAATTAATTAATGAGCTACTAATTTTGCATATAATACAATTAGCTTTGTCACTCTCATTTTGAAATTAATCGGACTAAAGACAATTTTAAGATAAAAGAATACAATAGTAAACATAAGTCAATTTAGTAAATACACAAATTTTCCGTTCAAATTCAAAGACTTAAAAAAAGCTGCTTTTTTTGGTAAATATGATCAAATAACCAATAACCAATATTTTGTTTGCAATTTTGAGAATCTCTTTTTAATTAATTTTAATTGAGGGTAATAATACTAGCCTAGAGGATTTCTCGTTTTGTTTATGTGTGAGCTCGCTGTAGTGACGAGGCCAGCTTTTAATTATCACACGGCAATCTGATGGCCTATCTACAGTTCAGGAGACATAGATCTATAATAAGCTAGGATTTGGCATTGAGTGGAGGTGATGCGGATGACTATTGCAGCTTGAGGAGGACGTGGCCGGCGTGACGTTTGTACAGCACCAGCGACATGTTGACCAAAAAGGGGGCGGCCAGCCAGAAGAGCCGTGTGCCAATGCCAGTGTCCTCGCGATGAAAGATTCCGGAGGCGGCACCGCGACCCGTGTTGCAGAAGGACTCCTCGCAGCAGGAGGTGCAGGCATACAGTTTCGTCCGCTCGCCAATGATGATGCAGCCGGGCTCGCAGTTGGCGGCACATCGGCGATCCAAAGACCACATTTTGGGCGAACTGGTCGAGTTCTCCGTGCTGGTGGTGTACGAGAATCGCTTGACCTGTTGGTCAGTGGTCTCAGATTAGTAACTGCCTCAGTTTGAGTGTCCCATCCACTCACCATGCAGATGAACTCCTCGCCATGGCACTTCTTCATCAGAGCGGTATCGTTCCGGACCGCCACATCCACACAGGCCTCGCCATCGTCCATCGTGTGGCAGGCGTAGCACCACAGCAGGTTAACCCTCTCGATGGCCGCCGCCGTGCGATGAATGTGTCCGCTGGTCAACGAGGTGCTTTGTCCGGGTCCGGGTCCGGGCGAACTGGTGCCCGTGACTGGGCATCGGATGGGAGATTTTATTGATTTTTCCACGCCAAGGTCGTTGAGCTCCGCTAGAGCTAGAGCTGGAGCTAGAGCTAAACTCACCATTGTTCACACAGGCCGTGAAGACGATGGACGAACTGGTCAGCAGGAAGTAGAGCAGCGTGACGAAGGGCCGTATCATCCTGCTGGCCACCCGATTCCTTGGCTAATCTACCGTGGGCCGAGATTCTCTTGTTTACGTGCTCCTCATTCCGATAAAGTGGCCCGAATGTCAGACGAACTCCCAGACGCGGAGGACATGCGCAGTGACCCTCTGTTAACAGTCAATACTCAAACCAGGGTTCTCAAAAATGTCACTCTTAATATGGTCAAATGTTTGGTATTTTTGAAGACAAGTTTTGCTCGCATTTAGCAAACCAAATTATGAATAATGAAAAACATGCCTTTGGGTAGTAAATTTTTTTTTACATACAATTTTATTTAATTTAACATCACAATAAAATAAAAAATAAAAGTTTTTATGTAGTAAATTCAAACATTTTGTACTCAAATTTACCGCTTTGATTTTATCCACTGAGGTTTTAAATTCTTTTCAACTTAATTTTTTTTTTTCATTGTAATATTTTTGGAACAAGTTTTGATGTCTACTAATTCGGCTTAAATTTAAACAATATTTAACTCAAATTAAATAAATTTAAATCAATTAGGAAGTATTTTAACGAGCGTGCTATCAAAGAGAAAAGAATGCTATATGTCATCGGCCGCCTGGCAGATGAAATACAATTTAGCAACGCAACTATAATCTCCCATCAATTTTTGATATACATAAATACAGTCCCCATTGTAGTTTGGCTCTACCGGCTTCCATTTTAAAAATGTCGTATTCTTTCCAGTGACCAGGTTCAGATACTGGCTCTCGTTCCGATAGACTCCAATCCAGTGATAATTATCTATGATTGCTGCATTTAGGGCAATGCTTTCTTCCTCGCTTCTAATTGTTGCTAGATTGCCACCCATTTGGCGACACGCGTCAGCAGCATCATTCCAAGTTCTCTTAACATTACTCTCAATGTAGAAGTATCTCGTCCCAACTAGCTTAAACTTCGGGGGGATAATTTTTGAATTGATTGTGGAAAGTTTTTTCAGGATGGTTGTTTGAAAGGCTGCTGCTTGATTTTTCGTTTTGTAATGAAGGGCCAGCATTTTTTCTTCCATCCCGATCCCGATCCCGATCCCGATCCCGGTCTTTATCAAAAGCTCCTGAAGAATGGTATTCTGGTCTTTCACTGTGGTACCTAGAGCCAAAAGTGAGGCATCCAGTCTGGTCTTCATGTCGCTCGCCTGGGCTTCTAGCCTGGACTGCACCTCCACGAGTTTGGCAAGTATGGACTGTACAGGGTCTTCAGTCTTTTCGGGCTTGGTCTCTGTCTCGGGAATGTGTTGGTGAACCTCTTTTTCTCTAGACGATACCAACAAATGCCGGGTTGTAAGAGCAAATATAAAAAAGTAAGTCGCCAGCTTGAACATTGTGAACAATTTCAACTACTCAAAGTTAACTTAAGAAACATACTGAAATTGTTCTGTTTGTCTGAAAAAATTAAAGCTCTTAAGGCTGCTGATAAAGGTCGACATTCCTTTAATTTTTAGTCACATTGGGTAAGGCCCCGTCACAAATCAAAAATTTGAATATTATGTTTTTTTTTTTTAACGAAACACCACATTTTATGATAAATTTTATATTTTTTAGTATTAAATATTATACTTTTAAATCAAGACCGTTTGTACTTAATTCTAGCACCGTATTTTTTTCTGAGTGTACTGTTCGTTTTTGAACAATGCTTCTGAAAAGAACCTGCTTTTTCATAGAATTTATTTATCGAAATAAATGGAACGCGTTCTTATCAATGTCGAATTTTAATAATAAATTAAATTTCATTTTTTCGGAAAAAGAAATGTTGTGTCGGTGGTCAAATTTCTTAAACTATATTACTAATAGCAAACTTATGCTTTTTACACCACATTGGAGAAATGTTTCCTTCTCATAAAGTAAACTTATTTTGAGAATAAGAAGTAGTAATCATTATCAAACCCGGAGATAGTGATTAATAATTTTTATTCCGAAAATAAGTTAGGGCTTGTATTTCAGGAATTCCAAATTTAGAAATACCCATTTGTTAAACCGATGGAATAATTTTACTAAATCCTTTTACAGCAGATGTCGAACAGGGTAATTTGGAGATAAATCAGAAACTGGAAACTAGTAGAGTCGCAGGTACTGCAGCGCCTGGCGACTCTGCATCGGATAGAGCTCCCCCCACGTTGTACATGAGATCCACCACGTGGGTGGGTCGCAGCATGCGCCAGGGCATGAACTTGAGCGTCTTCTTGTCGCAGTGCACATCCTTCTCCGGCTCCACCGGCAGCGGCACCTCGTTGTACAGCATCCGGCCGTCCACACTGCGCTGCAGGGTGCAGGGGAGGCCGATCTGGTCCGCCAGGCCCTTGAAGAGGACGGCCCGCTCGAACTGGCAGCCACTGCGCACCATGCCCAGCGGTATGAAGTTCGTGTGCAGCACCTGGCGCAGATCTTGCAGATGACAGCGGACCGTGTCCCGGCTGCACTCCTCCGTCGAGTTGAGGTCCACTATCTTGAGATTATCATTCATGACGGCGAACACCGCCTGGGCGATCAGCTTGCTCCGCTTGGCCACGTTGTCGAAGTCAACGGAGCGACGAATCCGCTCGGGATTCTCCACCAATCCGTGCATCTATGGGGGAGCTTATGTATATATATATATATATTACTAGCGCTAAGACTTAGTCAAACCCACCGCTAGCGTCTGGTTGAGGGCCTCCAAGTACTGCGGTAAGTAGACATCTCCGGGTCGCTTGCAGTAGTTCCAGCACTGATCTCCTGGCGAATCCGAGATCGTGTGCATAAAACGCAATGGCACGTCGATCACATCGGTGGCATCCGGTTTGGGACGATCGAAGTTCATCACCAGCACGGCATCCAGGGGCGAACAATCGTTGCGCAAGATGTCCTGGAAGCTGCGGATGTCCTCGAACTTCCGGCGCGACACATAGAAGTCCTTGCCGGCCGTGATGTCCGTAAAGTTGAGACAGTTGCGGATGGCGAACTTCATCGTGGGGCACTTGGACAGGATGCTCTCGATGGCCGGTGCCCAGGTGGAAACGCAGAAGGCATGCTTCTGGAAATCCAACAACCTGGGATGGAAATAGAGTGTATACCCACTTCTTAATAAAACAAAAAAGCAACAGACTTTAGCAAGCCGAAGTTTGTATACCCCTGTAATCATTGCAATTGTAAAGTAATATTTAAAAGAATATTTGTATAAATTGTAAAAAAAATATATCTAAATTAGTTAAGTTTCCAATTATTCCATATGATATAGTTCTTCGATCCTACCCCATCCAACTTATTACTTCCTGCAATAAAAAGAAGACTTTTGGTGATAGTTTCATACAGATAACTTTTAAACTGAGAGAGCAATGGGCATAGTAATCGGACAGGCGCACAGATGGACAAAAGAACGGACAAACGAACATGACTAGATTGACTTTTCCAACAATACTGATCAAGAATATATATATACTTTCAGAAATGTCTCCTTTGATGCGATGTAAACTTTTGACTGAAATTATACGGTATAACAAGATGGACTATCTTACACTTCCAGAATACCACGATCGATGTAGGCATCTATGAACTCATTGAATCGCGTGGTCTGCAGAATGAAGTTGGTCACCGAGGTCTTGACGAGATTGGACAGAGATTTCAGGGCCCGCTTGATGGAGGACACAATGTAGTTGGCCAGCAGGGTCTCGCGCACCGGAGCCTCGTCGATGAGAGTGCACAGGCAGCGGAAGATGTTGTTCACCAGGATGGAGTGGGCATAGGAACGCTGTAACCGGAAGAGATAAGGATTGGGATTTAGTGCTATAAGTGCCCCAGACAGTCACCATCAGGAGCTGGGCAATCTGTTCGGTTAGGGAGCTATACGCTCCCAGGATCGTGCGGTACTCCTCGTTCTGCGCCAGACTCTCGACGATCGTCAGCAGCGAGAGGATGAGATCTATGGACAGCGTGGGCTGACCCTGGGTGATGACGGCCGTGAGTACGGCGGCGATGTCCTGCTCCTGCAACTGGGCGGCCGTGTCCCGGAAGGCGGCCACCAGCAGACGGGCAATAAGCTCCGCCGCCTGCTCCCGCACCTTGATGGCCACCTCCGGTGACATGAGGATGGTGACCAGCTTACGGATCGCCCCCTCCTCGTAGGCGGCCACAATGCGACGCAATGAATCCGGATACTGGGACATGCGCTGCAGGCCCTGAATAACGAAGGCGGCCGGAGCTGGCTTGTTCTGCATCAGGCAGCTGAGGAACATGTCCGTGATCTCGGCCTTGTGCATGCGCGGCAGGAACTGCTCGTACTGAGCCGTCTCCGCGAAGATCGAGATGATGGTGCAGCGCATTTCCAGCGGCATGAGGTCCATGTTGCCACGCACCTGCTCCACGACCAGGTCGAAGAGGTTCTGCTCGAAGAACAGATTGGTCATCTTCTCGGAGCGCAGAGCTGTGGCCAGCACATCGATGATATCGGCCGCCTCCGATCCGCGTGGATTCTCACAGAAGGCCTTTACCAGCTGCTCCAGCACGAAGAAGCAGCGATGCAGTGGCTCGAAGACACTGTCATCCCCGGTGTCCGCCAGCAAAGTCTTCAAGGTCTTAAGGGCCGCCTTGCGGATCTCCTGGAACTCGTTGGTCACCTCGCAGATGATCCGATCCACCGGAAAATCCGTCTGGGTGGTGAAGTCCAGCATCTGCTCGGCACTCTGGACGAGCAGAATCCGGTGCAGGGCCTCAATCGAGTTGAACACCGTATCCGGATTCTCGGAATTAACGAACACCAGCTTGAACTTGTCCAGGAATTCGGTGGCCTCCACAATGCCATGGGCCATCTGGGGATCCCTCAGGCACACGTTGAGTATGTAGGACAAGTACTCGATGCAAAAGTCGTCGCTCTCCATCAGGTAGAATCTGCAGGCCAGCTCCAGGATCTGGTCCGTCTGCTCCGGCTCAAAGCTGGACATGTCCACGTTGTCCAGCAGAGCAGTGAGCAGGTACAGGGCGAAGCGTCGGATCATTATGTTGGGCGAGTCGATGAACAGATCCTTCTCAAGCAGCAGCTCCAGCAGGCGATGGGCCCTCAGATCCAGGACATTCGCATCCTGGCGGCGGGCAAAGTCCGTGATGTGGCTGAAGACGGTCAGCAGGACGCACTCCTCCTTGGAGCTCAACAGCAGCAACGCCGTGTCCAGCTTCTTGATCGGCACACTCACCTCGGTGAAGGACTTCTCCTCGGACTTGGTGCGATCTGGATAGGCAGTCTTGGCCTCGTAGATCCGCTTCGAAACTCGAGACATGTTTATGGCTCCTCCGGAATTCCTTTAAAATGGTGCTCTACTAATATATATATATATACCCTTTAGGGTAAGTACAAATTTGTTAAATGACAATTTTTTAACAGCTATAGCTTTTCAAACTTTCATCAGGATCTTGCTTCTTATAGGTAACATTTTAAAGCCAACCATTCATTCATTAGTAATTTTAATTCCTTTAAATAAATTTTAAAAACCTAATCTAATTATATATTTCTATATTTCAGCATATTAAGTTATTTGTAAAATTTTTTGGTTTTGTTTTATAAATTTTACTTCGAAGGCATAGAAATAGTACAGTACATGCCAAAGGGCTAAAATTTGTTCTTTTGAAAAATTTAATATTATGTACTGATTGCAAAACCTGTTATAAGTGCCTTAACTCATAGTCAAATAAAAAGCAATCGGAAATCCCTCTTGGTCTTATCAAGGGATACGTTTTTTGGTTTTCTCTGTTCTTGGCAAACAATTTTTTATCTGCAAGCTGTATTTTCCATGGGACTCTCGACATTTCGAAAGATATTTCGGAAAAACAAATTCTAAGCAATAAGGATACTAACCCACCCTTTGTAAAATCCCAATTGTCATTTTTGGGAACCAAATGTTTTTTGGTACAGAAGGTAACAGATTATTCAGGGTTGAAACTTGAACGCTATATTCCCTGATTCTAGCATTTTCTATTTCAAAACATATTTTCAAACAGCAAGCAAAAAATATTTAAAATTTATTGATTCCTATGCATGTATTAAATTGCTAGCCTTTTTACAAATTGTTTTTTTAATTTGTAGGTCTAACCAGTGTAAAACTCTTATGAGTTTACAGCGATTCATGAAATACAATAGGCAAGGCATAGTAAATTGGTATACATATTTCAGTTAAAATTCAAAATGGATCGCAGCAATCGATAGGTCAGCATTTACACATATCGATCAAACTTATCGATCGCCTTACAAAAAACACACTAAAAAATCCGCACGCGTCATTTGAATTTAACAAGCGAACGGGGGTGGAAAACGGAGAAGACAATAACGCCACGCTTGTTTGTTTCGCCATCGCTTGGTGCAATTTGAAAATAGTTTTTTAACCAGGAAACCAAAAAAAGCGCCGTTCGAGTATCGGCTGTTGATCAAGATCGCCGTGAAAAGTATATATTTAAGGGAATGACCAGACCGAAGGGGAAGGCGAACGAGAAGGCCACGGCGAAAAAAACAACGGGCGGCTGGAAGCTTCCGTCGGCCACCAAGGAAGCCAGCAAAGATGGGGAGAAAGAGAACGAGGATCAGGGCGTGGCGGACACCTCCTCCGCACCCACATCCGCCTCCGCATCCACGGAGGCCATGTACTCCATAATGCGGCACGCCGAGCTCAAGGAATCCCTGCACAAGCGCTTCGTGAAGGAGATGCAGCAACTGTACACAAAGGTGAGTGGCGTCGTCCTCTGGTGGCAGTTTATCTGGAATTTCCCACTCTAATGCTGTACATTCCAACAGATGGGCCACAATTCGTTCAAGCAGACCTTCATCAACGTGTTGAAGGCCGTCCTGGAAGCGGAGGAGGGCAACGAGAATGCCAACACCGCCCTAAACTTCTGCGCCACCTTCGTGAGCACTCCGGACGAGACGGGCTCGGAGCCCATGTTGGGCGATACATTCCGCTGGCTGCTGACGGTGCGTGTCCACTGTGTACTGTATTGTTTGCGTTTGGAACTGTACCTAATGGTTTTTCTTCGCCTCCACAGACCTATTCCGCGAGCCCGCACATCCGCTATCGCATCTGCTACTTTATAAATCTCATACTCAAGGAACTGGGGCCGAATGCCGCCCTGGATGACAGCCAGTGTGATGACATCCTGGAGGGGATGCTGGACCGCGTCAAGGACGTGTCCGCCATGGTGCGAAAGCAGGCCGTGCTGGCCATGCAACGCCTTCAGAATCCGGACAGTCCCAGTGACCCCGTCGTCTGTGCCTATCAGTATCACCTGTCCGCCGATCCCTCGTCCAACGTGCGGCAGTGCATCATATCGTGCATGGGCCGCAACTACATCACCATTCCGCACATCCTGCAGCGCCTGTGGGACGTGGACGAGAAGGTGCGTCGCCACACGTACGTCAATCTCTGCAACTATCCGGTGCGCTCCTACAAGGTGGCCCAGCGCCTCACCCTGCTGGAGCAGGGACTCAACGACACCTCGGCCACGGTACGCAAAACGGTGGTCAACTACATGCTCAAGACGTGGATCGAGTCGTACCAGCAAAACTATGTCGCCCTCACGGCCGCCCTCAAGCTGGACTCCAACGAGGAGGAGCTGCTGCGCTTCCGGCGCGTGGCCAAGCAAATGCTGAGGGTGATCTTCGAGCAGACGGACCACCAGAAGCTCGTGGACCAGCTGCCGTTGAGCGATGACTGCGAGCTGCATCGCTGCATTCCACACGAATTGCTGACCGTGGAACTGCTGATATACTGGCAGTGTCTCAGCGAGTTCCTGGAGACGGAGCAGCCCGAAATGGAGTCGGTGTTGCCGGAACTCAGCGTCTTCTGCAACTATGTGGATAAGTAAGTCGGAGGATCTGCTCTTTATCACCGAATCGGTATTTAATTGACTTCGTTTTGTCGACTAGGTTCTGTCAGTTTCAAAAGCCCGACATGGACAAGTTCGCCCAGGTCGAGTTCCAGAACATGCTGCTCTCGCTGGTGGAGATCCTGCAGTCGTACGATCTGGGCGACGAGATCGGGCGCGGCAACATGCGCCAGCTGATCGCGGCCCTGCTGAAGGACTGCCTGCTGGACCACAAGATCGTGTGCGTGCTGGTGCGCTGCATGGAGCAACTGATCACCGACCTCAACGATCGGATGCAGTTCTTCATCGAGATCATCTACGAGCTGTGCGAACTGAACACCAAGCAGAACGAGCTGATACACGACCGCAGTTTGATCAATAAGTTGCTGGACGACTTGGACACGCCGCTGAAGATGAAGATCTCCTCGCTGAAGGTCAGGATCCTCGAAATGGAGGAGCAAGAGGACAACTTTGTGCGCCAAAAGGAGTACATAAGGGCGCAGTCGGTGAACGATGAGAAGACCGCCGTCACCGAGGAGTACACCGAACTCATCCGTCCTGTGCTGGAGCGGAACGGTGTGCTCGAAAAGGCCGCCCGTCCGAAGCTCTCCAAGCAGGAGCGCGTGCTAAAGGGCCTGTACATCTGCTACTACATGACCGCCTCGCCGCACGTGCACAAGCTGACGCCCAGCCTGTGTCAACTGTACAAGGACTTCATCTGCCGATACCTGGCCTGCGCCGAGGTGGACATCTTCGAGTGGGCCATTAAGTGCGGCACCACCTACAGCATGTTCTACGAGGCCTACAGCAAGGAGGTGTTCGAGGTGGTGTTGGACCAGTACTGCAACAACAACATCGTGCGGCTGTGCGAGACGGCGGCCAACTGCATATTGGAGCTGCTGGATCACTACGGCGTGGACTACTTCAACGATCTGAACCAGGCCGGCGGAAATGTGTCGAAGACAAAGCGACGACAGCTCTACACCATGCAGGAGATCTATGACGACGACGATGGCAGCATGTCGCAGAACAACGAGCAGAATTCCGACATCATCGTGGTAATGGGCCACTACATGGAGCGGGTGCAGAACAAGAACGTCGGCGTGGCCATCGCACGCGGCCTTTGCCGCCTGGTGCTCCGCGGCCACTTGGACGATCGCCCGGAGGTGCTGGAGCAGCTGCTGAAGCGGTACTTCAATCCCAACACCGAGGCCATCATCAGTCAGGTGCTGGGCATGTTCTTCGAGGAGCTGAGACGCCTCAACAAACAGTGTCTCCTGCAGCCATGCTTCCTGCCCACCGTTTGGACTATCATGAACTGCAGCATTGACTCGCCGCTCAACGGCGTCCAGCCCGAAAACTTCACCAAGTTTTTCTTCGAAATGACCGTGCAAGAGAACAGCACGCCCCAAACAAATATCCACAACAAACTGGCGATCAGTTTTCTGCAATACATTCAGAACTACTTCACGGAGCGCAAGGAGATGTGCCGCCTTCTGGCCAAGGAGCTCACACGACTTTCTATAAACGTATTCAACGGGCCAGAGATTAAGGCTGAAATGCTTGATCTGGCGGACAAGCTGATAGCTGTAAGTCATCTTGCCGGGAGTTCCTTATATATCCCAAAAAGTGTGCTTAATGTCTTTGCTTTTTTTTTTATAGAACGAATTGGAACCTCGCATGATCAAAAACATTGGGAACTTCAAGCTGATGGTGAATGGCAGTTTCAATCCTCCGCCTCGTCGGAATCCCGAGGACGGCGAAAGCGATGACGAGTGCGAGACGGGGACTGTGACCACTGCGGATTTGGAAGTGCCAGCACCAGCGCCAACACAAATAGAAGCCCCAGCCCCCAGTCCCGAAGAATCTTCCAGCTTGCAGACTCCCACTTCAGCTCCAGAGACTCACGAGAGTGAAACATCCGCAGGGGAAGCCGCAGCTACTCCTAAAGCAGTCAAAGCAGCCGAAGCAGCAGTACCACCAATTCCAGAGCCCATTGTGACGACATATGGCAAAGACAACATAGTTGGAATACGCTACCTGCGCCGCTCAATGGCCATTAGCCTTTCGGATGCAGAGAGCTTGTTGGAAACGCAGGCAGTCAATGCGGAGGAAAACACGGAAACGGAAGCGGCGGCGGCAGAGACATCCAAACGGAACTCAAGTCGACCACAGATGAGGCGTCGCCTCCAAATGGCCATGGCCAGGTCATCCAAGACGCCGGAAAAGAAGCCAGCTAGTTCGGATCTCTCATCCGATGAGGAGATATCCGAGAGTCCAGCTAGAGTAGAAAGAGTATGTATTACATAGATTTCCCCCAGATAATTGCAGCTATACTAACTGTTGTGTTGCCCTTTCCAGGCAAACGATTCCGAGGTGATCCAGGCATCTCCCACAGCCGCCTCACCCAGTCCCGTCAAAGCTGCTCCGAATGCCAGCCACTTGAGACTTCGTTCGCTGCGCAGCAGGAAAGTCACCGCCACCGCCGGCACATCCATGACCCAGACCCCCTCCAACCCACCTAGCAAAGTGAGTACCAGGCACTTACGCTTGCGCATGCAGCTCTAGGCTCTAGACTCTGCCACAGGACTCACAAACCATCTTCACGCGCACACGCTGTTTAGGTTAAGAAAAAAGTTGCAATCGGCATTAACAATGAATCAACAAATCAATGTTTTCAAAACTGAACACCAAATTGTAGTTTCCTTTAAGCTCCAATAATCCTATTTCGCAATGGGTTGGTATCATTTGATTTTTAAACATTTTGTTTTCCTTTCATTTTTAATCACCACTAGCGAAAGGTCCTGCATCTGGAGACACCTTTAAGAAACGGACGCAAGCGAGTGCTTCGACGGACACCGTCAGATCCCAATTCCCTGAGGACCACCAGCGATTCCACGGCGCTCTCGCCGCCCCGCGGCTCTCCGCTGCGCAAGCAGCCTTGCCTGGACAACAGGAGTTCCCGGCGACAGCAGATGGCCAAGAATACGAACAGTCCCACGGACAGCACATCGTCGGTTAAGGAAAATCAAGTGCCTCCCGTCGTTGTGGTTCAATCGGTATCTGTATCGGTTTTGAAGTCGCAAACAGAAAGCGATTCTGAAAGCGATGCTGCACCAGAACACAGAACCGCAAAGTCCAAAAAGCCGATCATCAACAAGGCGCTACATGTTATCCGATCCCGACCAAGCTCCAGTACGCCAAAGGTGACGACGCGTAACGATTCGCGCTCGCAGCGGATCAATTCCATGTGCATGACCCGCAAACGGATGTCCCTCGAGATGAACCTCAGTGGTGGCCAGCTGCAAGTGTCCACACCGAAGCGCGTGACGCGCTCCGTGGCCATGAGCATGAGCGTGGACAGTAAACGCAGCAGGCGGAAATAGCCTCCGTCCGGATTCGCCTCCATTTCTCACTCTCACTCTCACTGTTCGTTCTGTGTTCCCTCGTTAGTGTTAAGTTCTATGGCCGTTTCTTTGTGTAAAATATGTGTAAATTATGTAGTAGTTTCAAGTTTAAATAAATCGTTAAATAATTTAACAGACAAACAAGTTCTGATCTTTTTTTTTGGAATAGAAATAACTGATTGTATTTTATATATATCTAGCATTATAAGGACTAACTCTTTTTTCTAACTTTTTTCCAAAACAATCAAATCGACAAATAAACTGGTTTTAAAAGTAATGCATTGAAAAATAAATAGCTCCGTACTCAAACTTGTATATAAAAAAGTTTTATAATTTATTGAAAATTTCTATAAAGGTGTATAAATGTGTATTTTGATGCTGGTAGTAGTATTAACTTGCATGCAGACCAAGCATGCGTGAATAAGTACATGCTGAGATTCGATCGATCCGAATGCAGGAAGCCAATGGGCGAGCAGTGATTACGTTAGGTTCCAGAAACTTAATTATATTCAATGCTTAGCTTACGATTACGAAACGATAGTAATGAGGTTAAGGCAACGGTGGTCGTTTAAAACAGACAGATCAAGGCAATCGAAATTAGAGGAGTATTCAAAGTTTAAGGCCATTCAGTTTGTGGGCCGTGGTGTGCAGATCCCATTCGTGCTGCTGCAGTGCCTCGAAGGAGGCCTCCAGGCTGAGATTGGCCTCGCTGACCAGGTTCTGCAGTTTGATGAGCTTGATGGATTTGTGGACGTCCCAGTTGATGAACTCCAGGGCACCCAGACAACGATTGGGCGTGCTCTGTGTGAAAATTAAAAAGAAAACGTATAAATAAGATGGAATGATCCATAATCCATAATCATATTATTTTTGTTATTATATCCAAATGATAAATTCAACAAAGTAAATATTATTATATTATCTTATTTCGAAGATATATAGGCATGTATCTGCACTTTCTTATATAAACTTAAATCTTTTTGAAGTCATGTTTCTAATCATAATCATAATATAGTGTACTCACATCTTTGCCGAGTACCTTAACCATGATGCGCACTTCATCAGAGTCCACGCCGCGTTCGCATCCCCTGGGCTTCTTGTCGGAGAACTCCAGCAGATCCTCGCAGCTCACCGAATTGGAGTCCGCCAGTCGAGCGGCCGTGGCCGCAAAGTACTCGGCTTCGGTTTGCGGCTTGGCAGCAGCTCCTCCTGGTTGACTGCCGCTCGACGAAGTGGTTTCGGCCACCGAGTTGCGATTCATGGCCATGTTGACGGATGCTCGAACCTTCTTGAACAGGGCATTGCCGGCCAGCTCGCTGTCCGCACTGGAGAAGCGTCGACTCAGCTCCGGAGCAGGCTCTGCCGGAGGCGGCTCCTCATCCGGCTGGCTGGCGCTACAGCTGCTGCCCGGCGTGGCCGTCTTCCGGCTGCTCTCGATGTCCAGGTTGCGTAGCTCGTCGTCGTTAACATACAGTCCGGCCATCTGGGTGACCTCGAACTCCGTCTCCCTGGCCTTGTTGTAGTGCTCCTTCTGAATGGAGAAGTTGTAGAAGCCGTCGGTCACGTCCGGCGACTGCAGGCTGCCCTCCTTGCCCGAGTCCGCCTCCAGGATGGATTCGATCTGCAGCGAAGCGGTGTCCGTCAACCCGGCAGCATCGGCCGGAGCCAGTTTGTCCAGGTTCTGGTAGGTGTGTTGGGTCGGCTCACCACTCCCCGACGCCGGCATGTTCTCGTACTCCCGCGACGGACGACGCATGCTGTTTGGCCGGACAGCGGCCACCACCTCGATGGCTCTGTTGGTCGGCTGCTGCGTGTGAGCGGAGCATTCCGGCATCTTGCCAGCGGAGTCTTCCCCGAAATCCGTCAGCTTGCTGAGGGTTCGCTGTAGTCCGTTGGCCGGTATGATCAGTGGATACTTGCGCACATGGCGCTTCGTGCTGGTCTTCACCTGTTTCTTGCCCTCGCGCGGCGGCAACGGAATGGGATTCGGTGACTCCGGCTCTGGCAGCGACTCCGGCGGCGGCTCCGACTGCTGCAGCGGCGGTGCCTCCGGACTCTCGCAGGCCTCCAGCGAGTTGGAGTTCTCGTCGTTGTGGCGACTCAAGCCGGCGGCCAGTTCCGCCTTACGCACCCGCTGGGCGGCACCGCGCGTGGGCAGCGTCATCGGGCGCTGATGCGACTGGTGCGAGTGGTGCCCGACATGGACAAGTTCGCCCAGGTCGAGTTCCAGAACATGCTGCTCTCGCTGGTGGAGATCCTGCAGTCGTACGATCTGGGCGACGAGATCGGGCGCGGCAACATGCGCCAGCTGATCGCGGCCCTGCTGAAGGACTGCCTGCTGGACCACAAGATCGTGTGCGTGCTGGTGCGCTGCATGGAGCAACTGATCACCGACCTCAACGATCGGATGCAGTTCTTCATCGAGATCATCTACGAGCTGTGCGAACTGAACACCAAGCAGAACGAGCTGATACACGACCGCAGTTTGATCAATAAGTTGCTGGACGACTTGGACACGCCGCTGAAGATGAAGATCTCCTCGCTGAAGGTCAGGATCCTCGAAATGGAGGAGCAAGAGGACAACTTTGTGCGCCAAAAGGAGTACATAAGGGCGCAGTCGGTGAACGATGAGAAGACCGCCGTCACCGAGGAGTACACCGAACTCATCCGTCCTGTGCTGGAGCGGAACGGTGTGCTCGAAAAGGCCGCCCGTCCGAAGCTCTCCAAGCAGGAGCGCGTGCTAAAGGGCCTGTACATGTGCTACTACATGACCGCCTCGCCGCACGTGCACAAGCTGACGCCCAGCCTGTGTCAACTGTACAAGGACTTCATCTGCCGATACCTGGCCTGCGCCGAGGTGGACATCTTCGAGTGGGCCATTAAGTGCGGCACCACCTACAGCATGTTCTACGAGGCCTACAGCAAGGAGGTGTTCGAGGTGGTGTTGGACCAGTACTGCAACAACAACATCGTGCGGCTGTGCGAGACGGCGGCCAACTGCATATTGGAGCTGCTGGATCACTACGGCGTGGACTACTTCAACGATCTGAACCAGGCCGGCGGAAATGTGTCGAAGACAAAGCGACGACAGCTCTACACCATGCAGGAGATCTATGACGACGACGATGGCAGCATGTCGCAGAACAACGAGCAGAATTCCGACATCATCGTGGTAATGGGCCACTACATGGAGCGGGTGCAGAACAAGAACGTCGGCGTGGCCATCGCACGCGGCCTTTGCCGCCTGGTGCTCCGCGGCCACTTGGACGATCGCCCGGAGGTGCTGGAGCAGCTGCTGAAGCGGTACTTCAATCCCAACACCGAGGCCATCATCAGTCAGGTGCTGGGCATGTTCTTCGAGGAGCTGAGACGCCTCAACAAACAGTGTCTCCTGCAGCCATGCTTCCTGCCCACCGTTTGGACCATCATGAACTGCAGCATTGATTCGCCGCTCAACGGCGTCCAGCCCGAAAACCTGACCAAGTTTTTCTTCGAAATGACCGTGCAAGAGAACAGCACGCCCCAAACAAATATCCACAACAAACTGGCGATCAGTTTTCTGCAATACATTCAGAACTACTTCACGGAGCGCAAGGAGATGTGCCGCCTTCTGGCCAAGGAGCTCACACGACTTTCTATAAACGTATTCAACGGGCCAGAGATTAAGGCTGAAATGCTTGATCTGGCGGACAAGCTGATAGCTGTAAGTCATCTTGCCGGGAGTTCCTTATATATCCCAAAAAGTGTGCTTAATGTCTTTGCTTTTTTTTTTTATAGAACGAATTGGAACCTCGCATGATCAAAAACATTGGGAACTTCAAGCTGATGGTGAATGGCAGTTTCAATCCTCCGCCTCGTCGGAATCCCGAGGACGGCGAAAGCGATGACGAGTGCGAGACGGGGACTGTGACCACTGCGGATTTGGAAGTGCCAGCACCAGCGCCAACACAAATAGAAGCCCCAGCCCCCAGTCCCGAAGAATCTTCCAGCTTGCAGACTCCCACTTCAGCTCCAGAGACTCACGAGAGTGAAACATCCGCAGGGGAAGCCGCAGCTACTCCTAAAGCAGTCAAAGCAGCCGAAGCAGCAGTACCACCAATTCCAGAGCCCATTGTGACGACATATGGCAAAGACAACATAGTTGGAATACGCTACCTGCGCCGCTCAATGGCCATTAGCCTTTCGGATGCAGAGAGCTTGTTGGAAACGCAGGCAGTCAATGCGGAGGAAAACACGGAAACGGAAGCGGCGGCGGCAGAGACATCCAAACGGAACTCAAGTCGACCACAGATGAGGCGTCGCCTCCAAATGGCCATGGCCAGGTCATCCAAGACGCCGGAAAAGAAGCCAGCTAGTTCGGATCTCTCATCCGATGAGGAGATATCCGAGAGTCCAGCTAGAGTAGAAAGAGTATGTATTACATAGATTTCCCCCAGATAATTGCAGCTATACTAACTGTTGTGTTGCCCTTTCCAGGCAAACGATTCCGAGGTGATCCAGGCATCTCCCACAGCCGCCTCACCCAGTCCCGTCAAAGCTGCTCCGAATGCCAGCCACTTGAGACTTCGTTCGCTGCGCAGCAGGAAAGTCACCGCCACCGCCGGCACATCCATGACCCAGACCCCCTCCAACCCACCTAGCAAAGTGAGTACCAGGCACTTACGCTTGCGCATGCAGCTCTAGGCTCTAGACTCTGCCACAGGACTCACAAACCATCTTCACGCGCACACGCTGTTTAGGTTAAGAAAAAAGTTGCAATCGGCATTAACAATGAATCAACAAATCAATGTTTTCAAAACTGAACACCAAATTGTAGTTTCCTTTAAGCTCCAATAATCCTATTTCGCAATGGGTTGGTATCATTTGATTTTTAAACATTTTGTTTTCCTTTCATTTTTAATCACCACTAGCGAAAGGTCCTGCATCTGGAGACACCTTTAAGAAACGGACGCAAGCGAGTGCTTCGACGGACACCGTCAGATCCCAATTCCCTGAGGACCACCAGCGATTCCACGGCGCTCTCGCCGCCCCGCGGCTCTCCGCTGCGCAAGCAGCCTTGCCTGGACAACAGGAGTTCCCGGCGACAGCAGATGGCCAAGAATACGAACAGTCCCACGGACAGCACATCGTCGGTTAAGGAAAATCAAGTGCCTCCCGTCGTTGTGGTTCAATCGGTATCTGTATCGGTTTTGAAGTCGCAAACAGAAAGCGATTCTGAAAGCGATGCTGCACCAGAACACAGAACCGCAAAGTCCAAAAAGCCGATCATCAACAAGGCGCTACATGTTATCCGATCCCGACCAAGCTCCAGTACGCCAAAGGTGACGACGCGTAACGATTCGCGCTCGCAGCGGATCAATTCCATGTGCATGACCCGCAAACGGATGTCCCTCGAGATGAACCTCAGTGGTGGCCAGCTGCAAGTGTCCACACCGAAGCGCGTGACGCGCTCCGTGGCCATGAGCATGAGCGTGGACAGTAAACGCAGCAGGCGGAAATAGCCTCCGTCCGGATTCGCCTCCATTTCTCACTCTCACTCTCACTGTTCGTTCTGTGTTCCCTCGTTAGTGTTAAGTTCTATGGCCGTTTCTTTGTGTAAAATATGTGTAAATTATGTAGTAGTTTCAAGTTTAAATAAATCGTTAAATAATTTAACAGACAAACAAGTTCTGATCTTTTTTTTTGGAATAGAAATAACTGATTGTATTTTATATATATCTAGCATTATAAGGACTAACTCTTTTTTCTAACTTTTTTCCAAAACAATCAAATCGACAAATAAACTGGTTTTAAAAGTAATGCATTGAAAAATAAATAGCTCCGTACTCAAACTTGTATATAAAAAAGTTTTATAATTTATTGAAAATTTCTATAAAGGTGTATAAATGTGTATTTTGATGCTGGTAGTAGTATTAACTTGCATGCAGACCAAGCATGCGTGAATAAGTACATGCTGAGATTCGATCGATCCGAATGCAGGAAGCCAATGGGCGAGCAGTGATTACGTTAGGTTCCAGAAACTTAATTATATTCAATGCTTAGCTTACGATTACGAAACGATAGTAATGAGGTTAAGGCAACGGTGGTCGTTTAAAACAGACAGATCAAGGCAATCGAAATTAGAGGAGTATTCAAAGTTTAAGGCCATTCAGTTTGTGGGCCGTGGTGTGCAGATCCCATTCGTGCTGCTGCAGTGCCTCGAAGGAGGCCTCCAGGCTGAGATTGGCCTCGCTGACCAGGTTCTGCAGTTTGATGAGCTTGATGGATTTGTGGACGTCCCAGTTGATGAACTCCAGGGCACCCAGACAACGATTGGGCGTGCTCTGTGTGAAAATTAAAAAGAAAACGTATAAATAAGATGGAATGATCCATAATCCATAATCATATTATTTTTGTTATTATATCCAAATGATAAATTCAACAAAGTAAATATTATTATATTATCTTATTTCGAAGATATATAGGCATGTATCTGCACTTTCTTATATAAACTTAAATCTTTTTGAAGTCATGTTTCTAATCATAATCATAATATAGTGTACTCACATCTTTGCCGAGTACCTTTACCATGATGCGCACTTCATCAGAGTCCACGCCACGTTCGCATCCCCTGGGCTTCTTGTCGGAGAACTCCAGCAGATCCTCGCAGCTCACCGAATTGGAGTCCGCCAGTCGAGCGGCCGTGGCCGCAAAGTACTCGGCTTCGGTTTGCGGCTTGGCAGCAGCTCCTCCTGGTTGTGTGCCGCTCGACGAAGTGGTTTCGGCCACCGAGTTGCGATTCATGGCCATGTTGACGGAGGCTCGAACCTTCTTGAACAGTGCATTGCCGGCCAGCTCGCTGTCCGCACTGGAGAAGCGTCGACTCAGCTCCGGAGCAGGCTCTGCCGGAGGCGGCTCCTCATCCGGCTGGCTGGCGCTACAGCTGCTGCCCGGCGTGGCCGTCTTCCGGCTGCTCTCGATGTCCAGGTTGCGCAGCTCGTCGTCGTTCACATACAGCCCGGCCATCTGGGTGACCTCGAACTCCGCCTCCCTGGCCTTGTTGTAGTGCTCCTTCTGAATGGAGAAGTTGTAGAAGCCGTCGGTCACGTCCGGCGACTGCAGGCTGCCCTCCTTGCCGGAGTCCGCCTCCAGGATGGACTCGAACTGCAGCGAAGCGGTGTCCGTCAGCCCAGCAGCATCGGCCGGAGCCAGTTTGTCCAGGTTCTGGTAGGTGTGTTGGGTCGGCTCACTACTCCCCGACGCCGGCATGTTCTCGTACTCCCGCGACGGACGACGTATGCTGTTTGGCCGGACAGCGGCCACCACCTCGATGGCTCTGTTGGTCGGCTGTTGCGTGTGAGCGGAGCACTCCGGCGTCTTGCCAGCGGAGTCTTCCCCGAAATCCGTCAGCTTGCTGAGGGTGCGCTGTAGTCCGTTGGCCGGTATGATCAGGGGATACTTGCGCACATGACGCTTCGTGCTGGTCTTCACCTGCTTCTTGCCCTCGCGCGGCGGCAACGGAATGGGATTCGGTGACTCCGGCTCTGGCAGCGACTCCGGTGGCGGCTCCGACTGCTGCTGCGGCGGTGCCTCCGGGAACTTGTAGCTGCCGTGGGTCATGTAGCTGGGACTCTCGCAGGCCTCCAGCGAGTTGGAGTTCTCGTCGTTGTGGCGACTCAAGCCGGCGGCCAGTTCCGCCTTGCGCACCCGCTGAGCGGCACCGCGCGTGGGCAGCGTCATCGGGCGCTGATGCGAGTGGTGCGAGTGGTGCAGGCTCTGCAGGTCGAACTCGTCGGTGTCCAGGTGACGGAGCAGGGTGGCCGCCGGACTGGGTCCGATGTCCAGCAGGGCCTTGCGCTCGATCAGGCTGTTGTAGGCCTCCAGTCCCTCCTTGCCGATCAGCGACTGTTGAAGTGGCGACGGGGTGGTGGGAATAGAATGAGTGGAAATGAAATTGTACAAAATGAAAATGTTGGGATAGAAATAAATAATAACAACTAAAGCGGTGCCAGGAATACTATGTATAAATTAAATGAATCAGTTAATGAATCAGCTTTGAATTTAAATTCAGAATTAGTTTTTCTTTATTAAATCCCTTTAAGTATGCACAACATTTTCATTGTTTTTGATTACCAATTTAACGTGTTTGGTTCTTAGAATGCAAATCACTTCTTCTCTCCTCTTTAAATAGTTGTTGCTTAGTTGAATTTAGTTTAGTTCATTTGGGGTTTCTTCTTGTATAATACTCGAGTAAATTTTGGTTTTCATTTAGTTTAATGTTAATTTTCTCTCGGGGTGAAACGCTTCAAACGCTTAGTTTAGAATATCATGTTCCGTAATGCTTACATTACCGCATACGCCTTTCTATACTTGTATACATATAATTAGGTTGATTTAGATTTAAGTGGGTGTATATATAATCTGTATATCATAATTTCAATTTGAGTTTATCCATAAATGCATAGAATGCGAAAATCTTTTAGTAAGTATAATCCATATAATATATATTCTTAGTGAGGTTATCAAAAATGTTCGTCGGCAATTCAAGTTGGAGTTTAATTTAGTTTTGCTTTCACTTTCGTTTTCGTTTTGCTTAGTGGGTTAGGTAGACCAATATACTTGACTCCTCAATCTCCAATCTTACAGATACTTAAGGTTTCGACACTCTAGTTGAAGTTAGCTTAAATGCTTCTCTTGGTTTCGGTATCGTTTAACTCATTTGGTTTTGGTTTTGGTTTCGCTTTAGTTTTAGCTTTAGCTTTGGTTTCATAAAAAATGCAAGCGTCAGGATATGGCACATAATCCGTACGGGATTCTTGCTCCGACGAATGTCTTTTGATGTGGACAAGTTCTGAGGATTGTCAACAGTTTTGTGTGCTGTCTGTCTGTCTGTCTGTCTTTCTGGTTGTGTCTGTGTGTGACTTATAATTACCGACAATGGCAATGGGTAATACTCTGTCTAGTTGGAGTCCCCTCAATAAGTGTGAGTGTTTGTGTTTGTGTTTGTCGTGTGCTTTGAAATACTGTTTTCGACCGCCAAGCTCTTGTTCGGTTTTGTATTACAAAAAAATTTATTGAACATTTTCTATTCCATTTGGAAGCCATTATCTTTGTATTATATATATGTTTTTGTTGTAGTGAAAAGTTGAAGAAACGTTTTGTATATTGACTTTAGGCTACTGAATAGAGTATTTCTTGTTGCTAGGGAGATGGAGATGGCATTCCCCTCTCCAATTTGGTTTAAATTTGACGAAATAAGATAGTTTAAGCTGAATTCAGAACTTTGAATTACTTAAAAAAAATAAGTTTTCAAAAAATGTACACCTATTTCGCCAAATTTAAACGAATAAGTAAGGGGAATGCATAGTTGAACTGATGAAGATGAGCGGTTGATGGAATGATGAAATGATGCAATGATTTGGAAGCTGTGCAGCTGATCTGCACATCATTATTATCTGTTGTGAGAGGTCTTCGGTGTTTTCCTATAAGGCACACTCTCATCTCGTTTCAAAAAATTCAAATCCAAAAAATATATGTATAATCTATTCGCTGTAAATACATCTTCAATTTACTCTTCGACGTCAGCACATACCGCTCGTTTCTCGTTTCTCGCTTCCTCACACACACACACAGACAGTAGCACAAACACAACACCGCCCAAGCCATCGCTATCCGGATACGGATACGGATCCAGATCCGGATATCCATCTGCCCCATCGCCTCTAATCGGACAACACATTGCCGAACAGTAAATTGAGTACGTATTTCAGCATTTTCCTTAGTTATGGAGCCGGACTGGGCGGGATTCGTGGAGCCACGAACTCGCGCCGGAACTGGAACTCATCCCCGCTCTCGGTGCTGGACGAGGAGGAGCTATCACTGGATCGCCTGGTGCTGGTCACTGCTCCCGCCATTGTCGCCACTCCCGCTACTCCCGCTCCACTGATAATCGTTGCTGTGGACAGATGCTGCTGCTGCTGTTGCTGTTGCATCTGCCGCCAGTGCATCTCGTGCTGCTTTACCGCCGATGCGTGTATCTTTTCCGGCCAGTGGAACTCCGTGGGTCGCTGCGGCTTGGTCACCTTACCACTGGGCGCCAGCAGAGAGCCCATCGAAAGCTGGCGCTGCTTTAACTCCTCCGGCGAACTGCCAACGAAATTGGTGGACGTGGGACTCTTGCCCGTCAGTCGACTAATGTCGAACTCATGGAGGGCCGTCCCGCCGCTCATGGGTCGCTGGGTGGTCGCCCCCCTGCCGTCCTGTAGGTGGCCTGCACGGCCGACGAGGCAGCCGAAGAGGATCCCGACCCGGAACCGGGCAATTCGGTTCCGTTCAAGAGATAATTGGGCTTTTGGCACGAACTCAAGTAGTTGGCTGGATGTGCCATGTTGTAGTTGTTGCCCGGACCACGACCACCAAAGTCGTAGATGCGCTCGTCGTACTGGAACTGCTCGTAGCCGGCGCCCATCATGCCAGTGCCGCCGCGATGGAAACTGCGTCGCTGGCCACCAAAGTTGTAGTGCGGCGCCGATTTGATGCTCGAATTGGAGCCGTAGATCTGGCGGGGCGAGATAATGGCCTCCCGTTCGTCATGGCAGGCGGACTGCACCTGGCGATTCATGCCCGCCCGACGACGCCTGCCCAGCGAGGAGTTCGAGCTGGCCGCCACTCTGGCCCGGATGTCACACTCGGAGCGGGCCAGACTTGGCTTGGCGGCCTCTTCGCCGCTGGATGAGCTCGAGTCCAGGGTCATGGGATTGTAGCTCAGCCGCCGCAGGGTGCGGGCTCTAATGGAGCGCGGCTTGTACGAGGCGGAGCGACGTGGCACAGGCGGCTGCTGCTCCAGCCTCACCTGCCGCTGGATGACGCCCCGCTCCCGCTGCGGCGGCTCCGACAGCACCGGCGATATGGGATGGAAGCTCTCGTTAAAGGAAGTGGAACGCTGGCGGTATCCCTTTGAGCCCAAGTAAACGGAGCCACTGCTGGCATTCAATCCAGCTCCAGACTTGACGGGCGAGGCGCTGGCAAGCATCTGCTTGGTGGCCCCGTTGCCGAAGCGTTCGTAGCCGAGCTCTGCCTCCTTGAGGCCGGCATAGCCACCGGACATGACCACTGGCGGGGCACTGAACAGCGCCTCGGACTTGAGCGGGAAGTGAAAGCTCTCCTGGGGACTGTAGCTGGACTTTTGGCTGCTGCGACGCGACAGCGAGATGTTGGTGTCCCGCGAGGCGAAGCCCGTGTCCGGAGTGCTCGAGCGCTTGTCCTCCATGGGCTTGGGATCCACGGGAGCGGCGGCGTTCAGCTGCGCCTGGTTGTGCATGTACTGCAGATGCTTGTCCAGGTGACTGGTGGCCGCATTGAAGTCGAACATGGTCTGGACACCGTTGCTGTAGCTGTAGACGGCCGACTTGAGGCTGCCGGTGGCACTGCTGATCCCATCGTCCAAACTGACCAGCTGCGGCAGCTGGTCGTTCAGTATGGTGTCGTTGGAGTCGCTCTTGTCCAGCTCCGTGTACGTGTGCATGAAGTCCAGATTGAGCGCCTTCAGTGTGTTCTCAATGTCCATGATGTTGTCGTCGATGCTCTTGTGTGGCTGATCCGCCGCCTGTTCACGCTCCAGATTCAACGGCCTGCTGAGGATCTCTCGCGACTTCTGGAACAGAAAATCGGAGCTCTCCTTGTCGAAGATGGGCACGCGCAGATCGGTGCTGTTCTTGATCTCGCTCAGCGAGCGGAAACGCTGCTCGGATCGATGGAGGAGCAACAAAACGAGAGAGAAAACAACCAAAAACAAAATGCCAAACGCAAATGCAAATGCCAAACGCAAAATGGGGAAATGAATGGGCAACGATGTGGAGGACGGAGGATGGAGGAGAAAGAGCAGAGCAGAGTGTAGACAAAACTCGAGGATTAGAATCTGTTTGAGAGCCAGGGATCGATGGCGTAGCGCTACTGGATAACTAAACTGATCTACCCCCTTTAAATCACACTCACCTGTATGTCCGGAATGCTCTGCAGCTCCTCGGTGAAGTTTTTCTTCTTGGAAAAGGGTGAGGCGTTGCCGTGGGTGGGAGTGTGGGCGGAGCCGCTGGCTCCTCCCACTCCGCCGGCCTTGTCACCGCCACCATTGTTACTTAAATGCGGAAACCTGAAGCTGAACTTGCGCTTGGGACTGTGGATGGCGGGTGTCTGATCAGAGACCAGATCAATCATTGACCTGAGACAGGAGAAGAAACGATTTAAGTCACCGACTATTCCGCTTGTCCACTACTCTATATTCCTCACCTGGCACTAATCTCGTTGGCCATATCGATGGCATGGTTCAGAATCCTCTCGTCTTTTACAGAAATCGGTTTCACCGTGCCCGACGACTTCTTTTTCGAGAGCGTCGGCAGCAGTCCATGGCCATGCTTGTTGCCATTGGTGTCGCCACTCTTTTGACCAAGTTTGGCAGACATTTCGGCAAACTCGTTCTTGCTGTTCACATGATCAAAGCCCGGCGATTTGGGCTGATTGCCCGATGCCCCGCTAATCGATCCGAACATCGAGTTAATCTCGTCCAGCAGCGATGGCCCAAAGTCAAGCTTATCGGCCGTCATCTCGTCATCGGATATCTCGTGATACTCGTGCGGATCGTCGACAATGCTCCGGGAACTGGGGCGCCAACTGGCCTCACCCGAATGGACACTCTTGCCATCGACGCCATAGTTGTTGTTGGTATGCATGCCAAACTCCTGCTCATCATCGCCTCGGTTGAGGAAAAACGGGTTGGTGGACCCGCTTGCAAAGTCGAATGAACTCTGGCCGTTGGTGGCTATCAGCTTGGGCGTGTGCTCGGCCGATGGAATGAATGTTGGGTTCATGGAGGTGCCCATGGCGCCTCCGCTGCTGGCCCCCTCTGGGAAGTATCCACTGGCCGTCTGCAGCGAATCCGGACTCGTGGGCGTGGGCGGCAGCAGGAGCGGCGTTTGCTCAATGTCCTCCGAGGGTTTGTAGGGCGTCACAATTTGCTTGGGCACATGATTGTACTAATGGGCAAAGAAATATAAGTTATATTAATAAAACCAACTGGATAACTCACATTCTGCGAACTTCCCAGAAAGGCTATGTCGCCAAAGGTGGCTCCATCGATGCCGACATGGCCGGTGTGCTTGAAGTCGTTCTGTGGCTTCGAAATCATCTCGGTGCGCAGTTTACGCTTGCTGATCCGGTGGTCGCTCACCCGGTTGAAGGATTCACGGCTGGAGCTGGGCAGGCCCTCGAGGAAGGCCACCGTGTTGGAGGGGTTGAAGTAGCCCGTCTTTCCGGTGCTCAGCACTCCCTTCCAGAAGGGCGTGCCCGTGTTGCGGTCGAGAACAGTGATAATGTCGCCCTGGCGATACAGCAGATGATCCTTCTTGGGCTCGGCACAATTCACCACCGCCTTGAGTTGCTCCGGCTTCATATCGGGCAGCTGGTCGTAGATCTCACCGAAACGTGGTCGTTTGGCAGCATCATCCTGCCAGCACTTCATCATTAGAGTGTAATACTCGCTGGGACAGCAGTCGGGCTGCTCCAGTCGCTGGTAGTTGGGCGAGTCGATGGCCTCGAGGATCTGCAGGCCAGTGAGTGCCGCCCAGGGCTGGAAGCCGTACGAGAACATCTCCCACAGGCAGACCCCAAAGGCCCACACATCGGAGGCGTTGGTGAAGCGCAGATAGTTGATGCACTCGGGCGCACACCATGCGATCGGCAGCTTTAGGTTCACATTGAAGTTCGTCTTGTAGTAGTCCTTGCCCACGCCCAGCGCACGCGACAGTCCAAAGTCGGAGATCTTGACCTTGTCCTTGCTGAACACTAGGATATTACGTGCCGCCAGGTCTCTGTGGATGAGGCGCTTCTGCTCGAGGTACCGCATGCCGTTGCATATCTGCAGGGCGAACTCACAGAGCGTGGGGATGGTGAGGAAGCTGACGCGCAATCCCGAATCCTTGAGGCACTCCAGCAGGGAGCGCAGATGGGCCAGCTCGGTGACCAGCATTAGCGAGTCGGTGGCCAAGACAACGCCGTACAGCCGCACGATGTTCTCGTGCTCGATGGAATGCATGATGGCCGCCTCCTTGAGGAACTCCATGGGATTCGACTGCATGCGCTCCCGGCACAGGCATTTGATGGCCACTTGGATCTGCAACAGATGGATTGGATTACTTTTGGGGCGGATTACAGCTAATACTTCTACTCACCCGCTCGCTGCCATTGGACCAGACGCCCTGCTGGACGATTCCGAACTCGCCGGTGCCCAGCTGCTTGTTCACACTGATGGAGTCCGCCGGAATGATGTGCTTGTTGTTGGGCACCTTGCCCGGCGAATTGGCCCCGTTCTTGGCCACCAGCGAGGAGCCGGAGGAGGCGCCAGTGCCGTCGAGCGGCATCTGACCTCCGCCGCTGCCGCCTCCGCCGCCGGGCACCTCCTCCCGCTTCACCATCGTGCCGGGCGCCTGCAGCAGACGCTTGATCTTGCTGAGGTAGCTGTGGGGGAAGTGCTTCTCGTAGAACTTGCGCAGCCTCCGGATTTCCGGGCGCGAGAGCCCAATGAAGCGCAAATCTTCGTCCGCCGCATACTTGAACTGGGCCGCGTTCGTTATTTTCAATTCGTTTCTGCGGGGGGGAGCATAAAGTGCACATGGGCGGGTTAGTTGGTTGGTTGGTTGGGATGGTTTGGGGGAGCTGCTTCCGCTTTTTGGGTCACTCACTTGACGGCATTGTAGTATTGCTGCAGTTCGGACTCAGTGAGGAATTCGTATAAATCAATTTGTGGATACTCTGGAAGCGGGGAATGTACAAAAATAAACACATTAAGATCTTGGGTACATAATATTATACATATACTATATAAGCGACCGCACAAAAGCAAATCTCGGGGTCCCTTATCTTTGATGTGGATGGCAAAAGGGGCGAAAGGGGGGGTGGGGAAATACCCTAGGCAATAAATATCTTCTTTAACGATCGATCCGCCGACGCAGATGGTTTTTTGAATATGATAAAATAAAACACACACATCTCCTGCATACCCAAAAGTTCCGCTCCCCCTCCCCCTCACACACACATATACACACACTCATGCAGGAGTACGTGAGCACATTGACACAGAATTCCGATTGCCTTGTTTTATACCCCTTAATCATGGAGCGAAAAGGTATATTTTACTGGTGCAGCAGTATGTAACAGGTTTAACAAAGTATTACTTTAACCAGCATCAACAGCAAAGTCTAGCCTTGTTCGCAAAGCTTAAAAATTTTAATGTTTGACGGTACATAGGAAGATAGACACTACTAAAGTTCCTTTTGCATTGATCTTACAAAAATGTATTCAAAAATCTATCATCTATTTCTTGCATAAGAAAAGGAAGATTGAGACTAATAAAAAATATCCAAAAATCTATCATCTAGATCTTGCATTCTTAACCGAATTCAAACCAACGATCGTCGCCTCAAATTAATTTTTAACGTTTTGGAACCAATCGAAGATGGGCTCTGACTAACTACTCACAAGTTTGAACTGACGGACTTTTCAAACCAAAAAACATAACCGATTTTTAAGTCCTGATATAAGTGGTTTTAAGAATTACCTAACAATTTCTAAAGTATTGAGATAATTTAGGTTGTTTTGATTTCATTACGATGGTACGGCATTTAAGCTAACAAAACATTATAGTAGATTAAACATGGGAAATATTTTCATTAAAAAGTCACTGGGTATCTTAGAGTTGAGTCACTTCACTACATGAGTTATTATTGTTAACAATAGATATATTCTTTAAAGATGGTATAAAGCCGGTTGTGGGATGGAGGTGAAAATATTTAAAGAAGTATCCATGCATCCTTACTTTTGTTGTTGAACCGCTGTTTTAGATAGACAAAACAAAACAGAGGGTATCTGGATGGTCGGGTCACTATGCTTAATCGCTTTTTCTTGATGTTGCTGCACCCGCATTTGTCATCCGGCTGCAAGGGGCCATTGTTTGTCCTCTCCGGAGTTGACGCAGTGGGTGGGCGAGGGGGGGGCTTTGAAACTTGAGCAACAAATGCATGTACACTGATTGCGGGGCTGATAATGTCCCGGGGATTGGCGATTACTGAGTCATGGCTCTTGGGAGCACGGTCTATATGTTTTCCGGCTCCGCCCCATTTCGGTGGATACCGGGACACACTTTCCCTCAGGACTTCGCTTGTCCTTGAATATGCAAAATAAAATCGATCGGCCAATACATACACGCACACTCACACACGCATACACATGCACACTCAGGCGGAAGCCTATCGTAACTACGTAGCAGGAAAAACATATTTCTATTTGTTTTCCTTTGACTTTTCACCTGTCACCTTCGAGTTCATCGAGTTGGCCGCACTATTAGCTCATTTTGCACTGTTTAACTGCTGTTTTTCTGTCAAACTTACCCATTTTACTCTCGCGTGCGCGTCTGCATTGTTTTTTGTTTTTTTGCTGCAATTGGTATGACCGTTTCGCGGAGTTGGCTGAATTACCAAGGGCCAGTGTTGAAAAGTACCACAGTAGTGGGAGCAACGGTTGAAGAAAATTTAAATTTTCCGTTACTTTTGAGTTCTTTTATTGTGGTCAACTTTTAATGGCTACTTTTGGATTTAAGGAAATCATGGTATAAGTAAATTATATATAGGTTTGGTTGAGCTTTAATGGCATTAATAGGACAAATCCTTAACTAAACAGTGTTATATTTTAACAGTTGCCAATAGGAACATATTGCCACCATTACATTAAATGAGTTTGTTGACCCCTACGACTCTCTTCCTCCTTTTTTTTATAGGAATTGTATTATACATTTTTTTAATAAAGCGATAAGGAGTGCAATTTGTCATTTATTAACCAAAGAATAAAAAAAAAGGTAAATTATTAGATAAATCCTAATAAAAAATGTATTAACTTAAAGTTCTCTTGTGTATAAATAAAATCAACATCCAAATTTATAAAACATTTTTTTGATCATCGTAACAAAACTCTGAAATAGATTAATAAATATGTATAAATGGCTGGCGTCCGCAGGAAGTAAAATAGCGGATTTGAAGTTGTCACGCTACTGTTTTTTAATTTTAAAATAATAAAAAAATAATAACAATTTATTTAAATTCATTATCAGGTTCTGCCTTTTCACATATGTGGGAATTAATCGTATACGCCTAATATTATTTTGTATTTAGGAGTGAATTTTTTATGAGTCCAGTAAGTTGAATTGCTGCTACGGATTTTCGGTTCTACGACTTGATCGTCCTGTCGATGTTTTGGATGCTCTTTCCAGCCATTTTTTGTTCGTTGTGGTGTATGCAATACTAAAGCTCGCTCGTCCCTCGATTTCCGGCCAATCTGTTTCGCTTCTCTTGATCCGCGGGAAGTGCGACATGGTTGCGGATTCTCCCAAAAGCAGCAGGAACAGGAACAGGAACCCAAGTATCAGTAATTGTAATGCGTACATTCTGAGCGAAAGAAACGAACTAAATCATTATACCTATCAACAATGCCCTGAGCACGAAACGTTCTTATCAATAAGTAAATAAAATGCTATATTATATAATATTATATGCTACATTATTCGCCAAAATAATGTTACCATTTAATAGCACACAAAAACACCTCTTTAAAATTTCAATTAATAGCATTTATTCATATACATATTGGTTATTTTAGATACAAAAAACAATGAGCGCATCGATGCGTGAATATTTGTTGTGGGTCAACTGCTTGCGGATCGGCGTTCAGAACAAACGGAAGCTGCTGGGAAAGGCGGTGATCATCATGCGGTTGATGACCGTCCGGATGTGCTCGTGACCCAGGGCGCCATTGATGGCGGCCAGCTCCTCGAAGTGATCGCGAGTACGCTTCTCCTCGATCAGCTTGACCACGAACTTGTACATGCGACCATAGTGGGCATTGGCATAGGCGTGCCACAGGGCGAACTGAATGGCCTTTGTGTCGTTGGCATCCACGAACTTGATTATCTCCGTGTACAGATCGTTGATCTCCGCCAGGCGATCCTTCACGCAATCATCCAGAACGGCCAGCTTGGCCAGGGCGATGCCCTTCTTGCTCAGTGCCTCGATGAGATTGTTCTTTTGCTTGTCCATGTTTCTAGGGAGGATAAAGATTTAATTCACAATGAAAAGTTTGGTAAAATAATTACCCAACATACGTCTTTATCTTTGCTGCATCGGATCGAGTATCGTTCTTGAGGCCATAATACGAGAGCAGTGCCTCGACATCGGTCTCCTGGATCACCTTATCGGCCAGCTTGACAATGCGCTCCAGGGCGCTGCGCATCTTCTTCTGGTCCTCCCTCTGCTTGTCGGCACTCTCTCCTCCCTCCGGCGGTGGCGATGTCTTTTGGGCATTGGCGAACGTCAGCGGCAGTTGCACCTTCAACTGAGTGGACTCGATGTTCTGGATGAGCAGCAGGTTGGCCGGCAGGTGCTTTGGATGGGCAGCCACCACCTCGTTGTAGATCTTCTCCGCCATCTCCAGCTCTGAAAGACAATACTACGTTTGAATAGATTCGCTTAGAAGGTAATCCCATAATCAACATACCACACTTGGCGATGTGCGAGCACTGGAAGTCGCGCAAGCTTTCGGCATAATCGTCGGCATTGGCCTTGCCCTTTTTGGGCGAAGCGGGACTGGCATTGCTGTCCACCGGCGGGTCGCTCTGCACCGTGACGCCATCGCCGGCAGCGGGATTGTTCAACGAGGTGGCTGCCTGTGGAGTGGCCGGAGCCTTCGGTTTGGCCGCATTGGCAGCGACGGCGACGGTTGCTGCTGCTGGGGATCCTGTAGCACTGGATCCGTTGCTGGATCCGTTCGTGTTTGCCTTCTTCTCTGACGGGTTCAGTATGTAGTTGAAGGGATGCAGGGCCACGCGACGTGCGGCCTCGTCCTGGGGGAATACCAGATTGCCGCTCAGCCAGGCGCACTGGGCGGGCAGATTGGCCTTGGTGAGTCGCTCCTGGGCAATTGGAGCGATGTACAGCACCCGGGTGGAGCCTCTCAGCTGGCCGGAGACGAACTTACGGCCGCCCACAATGCATTGGTTGTAGTTCTCGTAAATGTCGAGAGCGAGCATGTTAGGAAGCTTAAAGGAGGCCACCAAATTGGCCTCCGAGATCTTCTCCAGCAGTTCGCGCTTCTCGTGCCGCACCTGCAGTCGCACGGTGTAGTCGCCCTTTTCGAGCTTCGTGAAGAAGGTGTGCGAGTGGGCGTCACCGGTGGCGACCAGTGCCTTGTTCGCATCAAACAGCATCCACATCTGGGACTCGAACTCTGCCTCGTACAGCATGTCGTTGAAGATTGGGGCATAGAGGGCCACCTCCGCGGGCTTGGCCACGTTCAAGTTGAAGACCAACAGGTTCTGGTACACCTGTCGACCGTCTGGGATCACGTCTCGGGTGGCACTTAACGGCGAGATCTTAGCCTCGGTGGGCTTCAGCACCACAGCGGCGTTTTTCAATTGCAAGAGCGGCTGCAAGTCCTCCGAAATCAAGGACTCGACCTCCAGCTTGTGAATGCCCCTTCCGGCATGCATAACATCTGTAAAGTATCAGATTTGATCAAGATCAATGCTGCCATTATAGACTTTACTAGCCACTTACAGGCATTGGGATTGTGGGCTTCAACTCCACGGAAGAGCAGACTGTACTTCAGGTGACTCTGGCCATAGTTGGACCAATACTTGGCAATGCACAGCTCCAGAATCTTGCCAGACTGCAACATTTTTAGATCGTTAGAGAAATTCAGAGAGCAGGATAGTTCGAATTACGCACCTTAACCTTGAAAACCATGGTGGCTTCGTGCTCCGAACCCACGGGTACGATCTTCATGGTCTCCAGCTTGCGGCATGATTGCTTGGGAAGCAGCTGGTTTGTGTGAACGAAAAACTTGCCAATGTCCTTGCCACGATTGGGATCGGTGATGCGCATGCGCAGCTCTGCAAGTATGCTAATTAATTAGTAACTTTACATACATTTGTTGCGAGCAGCACACTCACCCGCCCAAGTGGCGTGTTGCGGCACCAGGATAAAGTCTCTTTGAATGGTGTTTGGCTGGAACTCCACGCTATTGTCTCCCTTGGTGGAGGCGGGTTCGAACACGGGCTTGCTGTGGTCAGACTCCAGCACATGGGGCTGCACCACTGTGACGGGAATCTCGAAGAGGGCACCCTTCTGCACACAGTCCGTGTCGAAGGCACGAATCCTAGATTATTCATATTAGCAAAAGGAAACATTTCGGAAGGAAAAGCTACTTACACGGCGCTGTGGACGCCTGGCTGGAGGCCAGTGGGATCAATGCGCACCACAATGGAACGGGTGCCGTAGCTGAGGTCCAGGAAAGCTCCACATTGCACCCAGGTCTGCGAGGCAATGAGATTCAGACGCACATTGTAGTTGAACTTGTCCTTGGGATCTGGAAGGGAACGAAAGGTGACAGCTGCAATGCCAATTACCAATCACCATTGCTATCTACTGACCCGCCTCCTTGTCGTTGAAGAAGATCGGCTCAATGTTCACATTGTAGTCGATGAACCTGCGCTGCACGCCTTGACGCAAATGGATGCCCTTGGCCTGGTTGTTGCCCACGCGCACGGAGAACCTAAGGGATTAAATTAAATAAAAAAGAAGGCGATCAGTTAGGCGGATAATACAATTAAGTAATGGTATGTACATATGTGCTCTATTGTCAAAAAGTTAAATGTTTGCAAACAATATGGATATGCTATCACCTTATAAAAGATGCATTAAAATTTAGAACCGGAAAGCTTTTATATCATATACCTGATAAGCTTGCAATTAGAAAAACTGGGATATTTTTTAATTGTTCATCGATTAAAAAAGATGATTAAACCAGAAATAACAACCGGTATTATTGCTCAGGTTCATACAAATGCTAAGTCGATTTTGGACGCGTATAAATGTTGATTCATAATACAGGTTTTTGCCAGCTACTTTCTATTGCAATTACCAATGCCCCGATTTGATTTCTCTCCAAACAGAACTCACCTAAGCATATTGTCCTTGGACTGCCGGTGCTCCATCAAGTGCTCGAAGGCCTTCTCCACATTGAGCAGACCATGGCCCTGGGCAAAGGGATCCACGTAGCCCAGTTTGGTGGCAGTGACGCTGATCGCCCGCTTAATACTGTACGGCGAATACTCGATGTTCTGTTGCTTCAGTCCGGAAATGAGCAGCGCCACGGCGCCGGCCACATGGGGTGCCGCCATACTGGTGCCATTCATCAGCTGCGACTTGCTCATGGTGAATTGCGGCACGGACGCAATGGCTCCGCCCGGAGCGCACACGGTCACGCCCTGGCCGCCATCGATGCAGGGATCGCGCGATGTCCACGTGTACACGTTGCCGGGCAGCTTCTCACGCATCGCGTACTCGGCCTCCATCATCTGGGGCGAGACGTAGGCGCCCACGCCGATCAAACTGGGCTGACTGATGTCCGGCGGAGTGCCGACGGTGCAGAGGGCCGGTCCATGGTTGCCGGCCGAGGCCACCCACACTACGCCGTACTTGTTGACCACCTCGTTCATCAGCGCCCCAATGCGGCTGCAAGAGATTAGAGATACGAGATTAGGCCTTTGATTCGAGCAATGGTTATCAGAAAGCGGAGTGTGTCGGCTAGAACGTGTCGGAGACAAGAGGACTGCAGTGTGTGAGTTTTCGAATTTCACATGTCATTTACCTCGACCCACTCGTCTTCTTTCTTCGGCGACGCATTTCTTCCGACCCAGACCCACTAAAAGACAGCCACAATTCTGGGATTAGCTGCCGCCAGGCCATTCGCACTTGCTTACCCGGAATTCGACCAGTTGGCGTGCTCCCCATAGCTCATGTTGATCACATCGATGCGTTTGCCATCGCGGCACAGCTCCATCACCTTGGTCATGGCCCGCACCAGCGCTGTTCCCGTCTCCATGGAGCCCAGTCGGCCATCGCCGATGGTCATCGACACGATCTTGGCATTCGGCGCCACGCCATCCACATCCCGGGAGCTGTGATTGCCGCTGGCAATGGACGAGACATGGGTGCCGTGGGGCGAGCACATGCCCACCACCTCTAGCACGTTGCCCTCGTCATGGACGTTCACGGACACGGAGAGGAAGTCGTCCACGTTGCGGGTCTCGTGCGTAAGCGAGTACTCGCCGATGCGCAAGGCTTGCTCCAGATCGCCCTGCTCCGTGGTGTCAATGATGGTTAGCCAACCGTTGGCTGTGGGGAAGAGGATGCAGTCGTAGGACGTCTTGATGTCGCCGTACACTTTCTCGTAGCTGTTGAGCATCTCCAGCTCGAAGTCCAGGTTCTCCTTAACTATCTTCTTTTCCCAGGGCAGCTTGGATGCTTCCCCTGTGATGGCAATACATTGGTTACTCTGGTTACACTGGTTGCAGCAAGGTCATGGACTAGTCTCACCTGGATTTTGTGACTCGAATTCGACAATCTTGCGACTGGCGTTGGCAGTGGCCGTTTTGTGCGGCTTGTCCCAGTGCTTAAGCTTGGCCTGGGCCACGATATTGTTCCTTATCTTGGAGGGCACCAGATCACTGAAGCTTTTGAGGCCCACACGCACTGACTTGTCCGGATCCGTGTTCAGGGCCATCAGTTCTGGGCTCAGTTTGAGCGTGTTGCCGGACAGGCCCTTCAGGTTGCCGCCCTCGTCCGGCGTCACCTTCTTCTTCATGTCCACATCCCCGCATCCGGAGCAGTCGTACCGCTCGATCACTTTTACGGTGTGTCCGTCGCAAAGCGTCTGGTTGGGAGATGAAAAAAAAAAAATAGGTCAAATGCGGAGCAAGCGGAAACGGAAAGCGGAAGAAGAACGGAAAATGAAGGAGACAGAATACAATATAAGGAGCACCAATTAAAGGCCGGTTCAAAGCGTCTGCAAAAAAAGTGCCAACTCACCTCGAGTCCCGTTGCCCGGGGATCTACGCCGGAATCGAAGATGGCTATGGTGACGTCGCGTCCGTCGTACTCCGGATACTTCTGCAGGAAGTTGAGGACCCCCGTCTCCGCCTTGGGCACCAGGGCGCCTGTGGGAAATGATTCGACAATTCCGCTGGTGGCCATCTCCACTGATTCGTCGCTCTTGTTGTTCTTCTTGTTGTTGCGGTCGGAACTCTCTGCGAATTCCTTGGTCACTGTTAATGGAGAATTGTAGGACCGAGACTTGAGTGCAAAAAAATGACAGTCACACCGCTAAATATACCCGGAAAATACCCAACTGAATTGAATGAAATACGGTCACACACATTGTACCTTACACTGACATTTTTTGAAACGTCTTTTGTTGTTGAGGAACACATTTTATCATTTTTCTAATAAGTATAAATAAATACTTACAGCATAACTGGAAAGCTGTGTTTAACTTTCAAAATTATTTTGAATTGTTAAATTAATTATTTTTATTCAGAGCAGAAAATATTATGATATTTACAATAATTAGTGTTTTATTTGGCAATATATCTAATAAACAGCGAGTTTTATATGAATTTTTTCCAATTCAATTAGTTGTTATAGTTTTTATTTGAACAACATTGTTTTATTTGGAAACCAATTATGTTTCATTAAAAAATAAAAAGTAAAATTAAAATTTTTTCAATTACAAATTGTCAAATTGTATTATAGTCGTTATAGGTTTATATTTGGATAAAATTTTTTGTCTCTTTTGTGGTTGAAGCTAATTTACAATAAAAAATATATATATAATTTTCCTGCATTTGCATAACGCGTCTACAAAAAACTCGATCAATCCCAAGGTAAATAAATAAATCTTTAATTATTTATTATTATTATTATTAGAAACAAAAAATGCATTGAAAATGAAAAGCTATATATAGCAGGGTGTTGTTTATCCCCAAAAAATAAGTAAAATGTTAAATTAAATCACTGCATATGTTGAAATCAAAGTAGCAGAGTGAATCCATGTCACTGTTACTTTGTTATCGTTACAGTGACATCTCTAATCCGATTTCCTTGTTTAGTATATTTTTTTAGGGGCCTCTGTATATTTTAACGGTCGAGCGGCGGTCACACCTGGTGTCGTATTGTGGAAAATATCATAACAAAAACCTTTTCCCCGACAATATGTGGTTCGAAATCCTACCTGGCGCCGTGATCATCACCACGCTCCTGTCGGTGCCCATATACGCCATGTACGGCCTGCAGAAGCTGACGATCGGCAATGTGAGTTCCAGGGTCGTCTTCTGGCCCAGCAGCTCGAAATTCTTATATAACCGTAGCTGCCTGTGCACCAATCGGAATTTGTTTAACATTTTTCAACCACGCACCTGCCGCAAGGAATCTTATTCGATAAAGGACACTTTCCGGTACACTTTCTGATATTTTTCGTTTGCTTCACAGGCTTTCCGGCGCAACATGGACGAGCGTTTCGGCCGAGTTATGTACCAGCGCGATTTCCGACTGACCGACAATCCCTACAAGATGAACGTAAGTGATACGCTACAGTCTAGCCTGCTTACAACTAATCTATTTATGTGTTTCCCCGGTTTTCGGCCATAGTTTCATTATCTCTTGCACTTATTTTCAAACACACTTGTTAAATGGGATTTGGTTATACTTTACTTTGTATTTTCAAGTGCGTTGTGTATTTATTAGTTTGTTTATATTATTTTCGCTTTCCATATATTACTTTTCTTAGAACCCTATTTAATTAATCTAAAATTGTATTTCTTAAACTCAAACAGTGTTTCTGTCAACACTCAGAAATCATTTAAAAATTTTTCTCTAATTTCTAGTATATTCCTGTTTTTTCTTCTTTTTCCTGCATTTTTCTGTTTTTTAAATCTATCTTTGTTTCATAATGCTTTTGTCTGTTTTTTAATTCTAATCTAAAAATGTTTTTGTTGCATTAGATTATTGGCATGATTTCTATTTCATTTTCTAAAAACAAATTTTAAAAATTAAACATTTTGGTTAACTGATTCATCTCCATCCATTTTTGTTTATATTTAACATTTATCCACTTTTGCACGTCCATCCTCAAAGTTTAAAGAACAAATATCCTCAATACAGAATCGTCCTTATTTTATTGCAGGGTCTGGATGCCATACCGGATGAGAAAACTAAATAATTTGAATTAAGTAAAGTTTTCCGTTTAAGCTTAAGTGCAAAAGTGAATAAACGAAACGTTTAGTTGGGAAGTCGAATAGCTTGTTTCTGAGTTTTCCTTGTAGTGTTTTTTCAGAGTTCTTGCCCTCTCATGTGTGTAAAGCCCTATTTCTTTTTAGGGACTTGAACAAATTCCCGATGAGGAGGAGGACAATAAGGATCAAAGGGATCAAAATGAGGACCTCGATGATCCTGTGCTCTTAAAGAAAAAGGAAAAAGAACGCAAGCTAAAGGAAAAACAAGAAAAAAAGCAAAGAAAGGAGGAGGAGAAGCAGCAGAAAAAGCAGTAGAAATATATAAACAAACATTTCCCCGTCAGAATAAAGGACTTGCGGACTTTCGTCCTTTGCCGCGCATTTAACAACCCTGTTCTCGTGACAGGAAACCACCCCTAAGGGAGAACTACGGGTGGCGAAACATCCCGTCGTCAACATTTTGTGGTATTCGGTGAAAAGGCGTCGTCGAGCGACGAGAGCGCGCAAATAAACAAATATTTTACCGGATAACTTTGCTTTTCTACTATATAATAATCTCTTAAATTCAGGACTCTGTCTTCCTAGAGTAGTGTAATCCAGTGAAATGGATGTCCGTAAGATATTCGCTTGAAATCGGTGTTAAAAACAACGCATACACAGAAAACACAGCCATGGCTGCCGGGCAATGGGTGGGAGTGGGATTGGGATTGGGAGTGGGAGTGGGGGTTGAGCGGGTGCTCCGGGGACCCGGGCTCAAAAGGGGAGCCAGCCTGGCTGCCCTGGTGCTGTGCGTGTTTATCCTAACCAGCGCCACGCACGCGAACTCCCTGAACGCCATCGAGGAGCCCGTCACCCGGCGCCACCACCAGCGGCATCACGAGCGGGAACGCGACCGGGAGCGGGAGGAGAACGGCTACTGTGCTCCGTACAGCGGCAAGGTATGCAAGGAGTACCTCACCGGCCAGGTGTGGTACAGCCTAGAGGACCCCACCGGCGGCTGGAAGAACGAGCAGGTGACCACGGCGCTGTGGGACGAGCTCATCTCCGATCTCACGGGTCTGTGCCGCGAGGCAGCCGAGGTGAGTTGGCACTTTAGAGGGTTCAAATATATAGGATTTATAGGATTATACTTCTGCAGTAGAAATATTTCAAGAAGTTATACAGTACTATCCATAAAATATTATACATAATTCTGTATAAGTTATTGGAAAATTGTTTTTTAACTACATTAAATTCCTATGTTTTAATATTGTTTTTTATACCAGTGACTCGTTAAATAAAAGGGTATATTGTATTCGTTAAAAAGTATGGAGGAAGTGTTTCGAAACCTATAAGGTATATGTTCCACATCATGTATTCTTGATCAGGATCAAAAGACACCTTATGAATTTCGAGATATCGGAAGCTATAGAAGCTTATGATAAGGGATCTTAAATTTAGAGTCTAATTATGCTCACTCAGTGCAAGTTTATTTATTTTATTATTGTATATTTTTAGGAGCGTTTCTTCTATTTTAATAAAGAATTAAACAAATTTATACATTTTTCAAATCCTTTTTATACCAATTAAATTGTAGTAACTTAAAAAAAAACATTTACAAAACTCTTAAATGGAAAAAAAATTAGAAGTAAGATAGGTTTGAAGTTAATCTAAGACAAAGAATATTGAAACTTAAAATAATGCAATGTAAATATTGAGATACCTATTTATAAACAGACCCTTAAAGTGGTTTAATTTTGATTTGAATTAATAAAAAAAGAATAAATGTTTTAATAGGATAATTTGTTGTATGTAAACTAGAGTATTAACCCACTTTGTTTAGACAAATAGGGAAGGTTTTTGCTTGTAGGTCTGTTTAAACCCCCAATAAATCCCTAGTAACTTAACATTACTTACCCCAATCGCCTACAGAAAATGCTGTGCGCCTATGCCTTCCCCAACTGCCACATGGAGGGTGGACGAGCCGTGAAGGCTCCTCTCTGCTTCGAGGACTGCCAGGCCACGCACCTGCAGTTCTGCTACAACGACTGGGTGCTCATCGAGGAGAAGAAGGAGCGCAACATGTTCATCAAGAGCCGTGGCCACTTCCGGCTGCCCAACTGCTCCGCCCTGCCGCACTACAACGCCTCCATGCGGCGACCCAACTGCTCCTACATTGGTCTCACCGAACTCAAGGAGTCGGAAGTTAGCTGTGAGTCCTAACTATCTGGAGTAATCCCATGAAGCTCCTCCATTACGATATTAATCCCCATTCCTCTGTAGATGACTGCCGCAATGGGAATGGGCGCTTCTACATGGGCACTGCGAACGTGTCCAAGTCGGGCATTCCCTGCCAGCGCTGGGACACCCAGTACCCGCACAAGCACTTCCAGCCTCCGCTGGTCTTCCATCAGCTCCTGGAGGGTGAGAACTACTGCCGCAATGCTGGTGGCGAAGAGCCGCATCCCTGGTGCTACACAGTGGATGAGTCTGTGCGCTGGCAGCACTGCGATATACCCATGTGCCGTAAGTTTAGATCGATCTTCCTAACTATCACTCCATCTAACACCCTTTAATGCATTTTTAGCTGACTATGTGGACCCCAATGCCGGCGACTTAAACACACCCATCAAAATGGAGAAGTTCTTCACACCATCGATGATCTTCCTGCTGGCTGGGATTGGTTTCGTGGCCATCGTGGCCCTGCACCTAATGATCCTGCTCGTGTACAAGCTGTCCAAGCACAAGGACTACTCCCAACCACCGGGAGCGGCCACCGTCGATTGCAGTGCATCCATGCGCGGCGGAGGAGAGTGTGGCGGCGGTAATCTGAATACCAGTCGGGAAACGCTCGGAGGCAATGCCAATACCAACACGCTGGCCAAGTGGGGCACCATCCGGAGCACGGCCACGGTGCACAGCAACTGCGTGGCCCTCACCACGGTGGCCAGTGTGCCGGACGCGAAGGCCTCCAAGCCGAATGCACGCCTGGAGAAGCTGGAGTATCCACGTGGCGATATAGTCTATGTGAGATCCCTGGGCCAGGGAGCCTTCGGTCGTGTCTTCCAGGCCAGAGCTCCTGGGCTGGTGCCCGACCAGGAGGATCTCCTGGTGGCCGTGAAAATGCTCAAGGACGATGCCAGCGACCAGATGCAAATGGACTTCGAGCGCGAGGCCTGCCTGCTGGCCGAGTTCGATCATCCCAACATTGTCCGACTCCTCGGCGTGTGCGCCTTGGGGCGGCCCATGTGCCTGCTGTTCGAGTACATGGCACCCGGCGATCTCAGCGAGTTCCTGCGCGCCTGCTCGCCGTATGCCACCCACCAGGCGCCGGCACGGGATCGCCTGCAGCTGAACGAGCTGCATCTGCTGCAGATGGCCGCTAACATTGCGGCCGGAATGCTGTATCTGTCGGAGCGCAAGTTCGTCCATCGGGATTTGGCCACAAGGAATTGCCTGATCAACGAGCATATGGCGGTGAAGATCGCCGACTTTGGGCTGTCGCACAAGATCTATCTGCAGGACTACTACAAGGGTGACGAGAACGACTTCATCCCGATTCGCTGGATGCCGCTCGAGAGCATCCTGTACAACAAGTTCTCGCTGGAGTCGGATGTGTGGGCCTACGGCATCTGCCTGTGGGAGATCTTCTCCTTCGCTTTGCAGCCGTACTTCGGCCTGACCCACGAGGAGGTGATCAAGTACATCAAGGAGGGCAGTGTGCTCGGCTGTCCGGACAACACGCCGCTCTCCGTCTACGCGCTGATGCGTCGCTGCTGGAACCGCAAGCCGAGCGAGCGTCCGGGATTCGCCGAGATCAACCACTGCATCCAGCACAGCATCGCCGAGAGCGAGTGCAAGGCGATGCTCTAGGGGATTGAGTTCGGCGGAGACAACGAAGCTAATCCTTGTACCACAGAACGATCGTCCGCCGTCTTCCGGGGCATCCAATAGACACAATGGTGGCTGTGGAATTCGCAGAGGGGAATGTCATTTTTGTATAAGTTTTTAAGCCACTTTTATAAGAAGTTTCCTATTTTATTGTATCTTAGTTGACAGACGACATTCCTGGATTACAGTTTTTGCATTCCACCCGCCTTTATACACCCACTTTTATACTCACCAATGCATATTGATTTGAATTAGCGCACTAGGCGAGATCAGAGGGCAACAGGATTGTGATTAAGTTAGTTTAAAGGCCACTCCATATCGTTAAGCAATCGCTCCAGAACAAAGTCTCTCCTTTGATGCTTCCTCACACATCTTGGTTAAGTCGATCCAGACACTATTTTGATATGCATATACCCTCTGATCTGTCTGATCTGTTGGCCATCAATCGAATAGTCTGCCACAACGAACGCACATCAACGTCTCGTACTCATATCTAGTCTATAGTTTAAGTTTATCAATATGCGCATATGTAGATTGCATTTTAATCGATTCATTTCTGACTAGAAACTAAGCACTGCCGTCGCAGCACTCCACAAAGATCGTTGATCACTGGGTCCTGGACAGACAGGAACCAGGAACACCGGAGACCATCAAAACAATAAGTTATTTGCGATATGGAATATTTAGAGAACTGTCTACAGCCCGAATTTCTGGGTAACTTTACATAATCATTGTAACTAAAACAAAACAACGTGTTGATTGTAATTTGTATAAATAAACCATCCATAACCGTATCGCATCAGCAGTAGTAGTAACTGTAGTAGTAGTTGTCGTAGTAGCAACGGTTGTACGTCGCCGGATAAGCAATGGGCACGGGCACGGGAAGAACTCCTCCGTAACCGACATATCCACCATATCCACCGTATCCGCCATATCCACCGTATCTACCATATCCACCGTATCTACTATATCCGTATGGCCGCCCACCGCGGAAACCTCCGGGGGTCCGCCCCTGAAGCCTCCTCCACGGCCTGGTCCGCCAAATCCTGGACCCCTTCCTCCTCCGAAACCGCCGCCTCGTCCTCCACCAAAGCCGCCGCCTCGTCCTCCACCAAAGCCGCCGCCTCGTCCTCCACCAAAGCCGCCACCTCGTCCTCCACCAAAGCCGCCGCCTCGACCTCCTCCGCCATGTCCTCCTCCACCACCACCATGACCTCCTCCACCACCACCTCCGCCTCCTCTGGCTTCCGACATGGGCCAGTGGATGAGCAGAAGAACTACGCACAACCAGATCCACAATGGGGACATCTTCTCCAGAACCTTATCGATTCGTTGGTCAATCACGACTAAGTTCAGATCACAGGGAAATTCTGTTTATTGCCAACTAATTAGGACACCCACGTTAATTGCCAATGCGAGCATGAGTTCATAATATATATATTGAAAATCCCCGATCGAGTTACTCTTATTTGTCTCTGTATTTGCATGGTTTTCGTCTCACTCCGCCGATTCACACTCCTCCGATATCACAGCAGCCTAAGTGATTAGGCATCAAATGGAATTTGTTCCTTAACCGAATGAACTTAATAATATATTGATGATGAGGGGGGGATGAGCTGGAAAAGGCGCCTTTTACAGCGCCTCTGGGCAGTTTTTGTTTTTGCTGATGATCAGCCTCTCCGGATCCAAGGACAATCGTTTCAACACATCGTACACCTTGGAGCGGATGTCCACCTCGAAGTCCCGATCACGTCCCAGTATCCAGATCTGGTCGGAGTGACCCAAGGAGCCGATGCTGCCGCAGGACCACAAGATGGCGAAGTTCTCGTAGTCCGTGTAGAGAACCTGGTACTTTCCAGATCCAGGGAGCAATCTGGCAATTACCTCCGGAAAACGGGTGGTAAACTAGGGCGGTTAACAACGTTTGATATAATATGTAATAATAGGGACGACTTTAATATTTAATATTTTTCGAGTTCTTTGTCTTTGGAAGATACCATACCTTAAAATCCATAATGGAAGATCGACTATTTTCCGGCGTCGCATAGCCAATGTTAACATTAGGATTACCAGTTCTAAAAGAGTTATTAAAAATACAAATACGATATTTTGTTAAAGGATTTGAACTTCCTACATGCGGTTGATGTTTTTGATGGCCACAGCCAACTTAAAGTTGGCGAATTTGGATAGTTCCGCCTTGTTGTAGGGCTCAAACTGAAAGGTGGTGCAGCCAGAGGCGATTTCTGGAAGGTAAAACGAGCGCTCCACCTCGAACCAATGTCCTAGGACCTGCAGGAGAATAACATAATGGATCCCTTATAATAATAACTTATAGAAAATTGTTTTAATACAAGTTAAATTCGGTTAAAATACACCGATTCCTGACAGATATAGTTATATTATAATTCCATATATTTGTAATAAATATGCAGTCAGCTCTTTCTACTTATTTTCCGGGTAAACACAATGTAGCGTATTTTTCAACCACATGTCAATCATGTTTACCCTGTTTTTTTTCCAGTTAAAGCCATTGTTTCTTTGTTTTCCAACTGCCTCGTCAGAACTTATAGCGCATGGAGTGCAACTAGAATCATCTGGCCATTGTAAACCTGAAACCTGAGAAACCTTTCTTGGACTTGGCACGCTTTGTCACCCAGCGTTTCTCTCGGCCAAGAAACACTTAAGTGGGTTACTAATTCAGCCCCCCTGCCATCCAACCAACCACCACTTAACCCAAACAATGCGTAAAACGTAAACATTTTGGGAACTGGTTTTCGACTGCTAACCCATTGAGGAGAGTCGCACTTTTGGCAGCAGGCAGCCCATCTTGCAGTTCAAAGTCGCAGGGCGCCGCATCGGATTTAATTACGGCCGACGACGAACCGAGGTCTTTGCCCCGGGTCAAAAGTGGGCGTTGGGGGCGGGGACGATGACAAATGGTTTAATTCACGCCTGTCAACAGCTCAATTGGATGATGTGCCACATAATGCGAATCACAGATACATAAACGCAGCCAATTATGGTGCATTATCATTTATGCAAATCAAGGCTCAATCAATTTAATTTGATTGGCTAAAGTGATTGAGACAATTTTCTAGTCTATGATCTCAACTATGCCGTTTAGCTGTCGAGGTTTTATAACAGAAACCACTATTTCGGTTTTACAAAACAAAAAAAAACTACACTTAAATTCCACTTATGAATTCTAAGAAATATAAAAACTTGTATTAAGTTGAAATTTAATCACATACCTTAAAGGCTTATAAAATTTCACTATGTTTTCACTTTTGAATTCTTGGAACTGGTGAGAAAAATTCACACCTATTTTGTTTTTAACTTTTAAAGATACATTTTGAAGTTACAGAAAATAATTTGTGGCTTGACACTAACTATCTATCCTAGATGATCCCAGAACTATATGTTCACACTCTGACCTCTATTTTTGCTTTCTCAAAAATGTCGTTTTTATGTCGTAAGTGATGTCAATTTCAAATTTAAGTTAGGAATGTTTGACTGTAATTCACTTTGTTGTCCTTGGCATGCCCATGTTTGAGCATTGGTACTGGTTGATTTACTTCTTTATAAACTAAGTGGCTTGTTTACCATCGGACAGGCCATAAAGCTTTTGTGCCTCTCGTCTCCTTCTGTAAAACTGGTTTGCATTTTACACGGCGGATCGGATTTGGTGGCCTTAAATTGGTTCAAGTTCATCTTATGCACAATCCACAAAATGAAGAAAGGTCTTCGGCTTCGACCGCCGCCTTGTGCTAATTAATCGAAGATGTGACACGTTCAAGATGATGGCCAATAAGTGATGACTTGCGCATTTTACAGCGCATCTCAAAGTTGTAAGGACAGTTAATAAACAAAATCCTTCTAATAAGCAACATTAATGTGCTTGCCGTTACAAAATTTATATTACTTGACTCTAAACTCTGTTCAATACAATAAAATTGTATTACAAGGTAATTATTTAAACACAATTTGCAATCGTTGAGAATAGATACATATTGGTTTAAAAAATAAAAAAGAATTCGACTTTTAAATGTTATCATTTTACGAAGAGTCATTGTAAACATAATTTTAAATGATAAAGCCAAAACAAAGTTTATAAAAACATATCTTTGTATATCGTATTCAGAGGAATTCAATTTTACTGACATCTAGTTATCTATCTGACATTTAAGTTATACTAACTTTATACTAATTTCCGGTTCGAGGGGTCAGCTACGAACTTACCCGACTCATATTAAACTTTGGCATCGATGGGTAATTCGGGCAACGTCCAAATCCGTAGGCATTTGCTCCGGCGAATGTTAGTGATAAAACTCCGGACAAAAGCCAAACACTTGAGACAAGTGACTGTCTGCCCATAATTGTTTGTTTTTTAGAATTTGTATTTTCGTTTTTATTTTTGTTTTAGTTCACTTTGAATATTTGGCACTTAAAGCGGCAGAATTGGCACAACAGCAACTAACTAAACTAGACAGAGTGGAATTCGAAATCAGGTAATTTTCATTGAACTCGGCCGTATTTACTTGGCTCTGTGCACAAAGTGATTTCCGATTCGATGGGTTCACTTGGCCAACGAACTATGGATCAACATTTAGATGTACATTTCCTCAAAGTAACCGCGATTGCTATTGTCTGCCCATTGGTATTCCGGATGGGAATTGTGCGATAATGAAAACGTGCTGTCCACCGGCTTTGGGGAATGGGAATTGGGACTACGAATGTACCTGGACAAATGGACGAGTGGAGGAGTGGATGACTGGCCAAGAAGAAGTGAAAACCAGTAGCGGCAACGCTGTTTATTTATTTTAGATATTTATTTTGGTTTTGGCTCGTGCCCCACCGACCAGCGAGCGAGTTACGTAAAAGAAAAGCCAACATCAAAATGCAGCTTAAAACAGGTTGCTCCACCGATTTTCGCACACACCAAAAGATATTGCGCATTGCAAAAAGCGGGTAAAAGCGAAAATACCTAATCGAGGAAATACTGGGATGCAAATGCATCAATTGTGTCATGGAGTTAGTCGGGTGCATTGCTCGATTTATCTACGAAAGTATATAAATATTATATGTATGTACGTCTATATATGGGTTCGTTCAGGCGTATCAAGTTCAAGACAAGTAGGAAGTCGGTTGGTTTTCTTTTCACGACTATTACCGCATGTGGAAAATAACCAATAAATATTTCATGAATAGATAGTGATGTGAAAGGTACGCTTGCTTATAAGTTATAACATAGTACTGCGTATAGCTACAACTTTTAGTTTGCTTTGAATCTATTATCAGAAAATCAATTTTGTAATCAGTTGCAGAATTTAAAATAGATCTATGTACAAAGAAAATGTTATGAGTAAAATGTTTATAATCTTGTAGCTTAGCCAACGCTTCTTTTCGAATATCTGTAAATCTTCTGATTTTTCGTTTAAACGAAATTTTAAAGTTTTAAATCATATAGTAATCGCTATATTAGCATAAAAACTAGATTCTTTTTGTTAAATAAAGGTACAAGATGAGGTATAAGATACTCAAAACCAGTACCTGGACTTGCACCCCGGTACACCCAAACATAAACTTTGCATCACTATCAATAGAAAGAGTGTTAATTTCACACAAATCGACAACAGCAAGTGGCACAAAATAAGCCAAGGCAATTGCAAAATACTCTTGTTGTCCAGCTGATTTCACTTTGTACACATACAAGTGCCCGTTTCGTTTTGAGTTTAGGTTTTCTGTGCAGCATGCACTGGCAATGTCGCAGATTTATTTGTAATCTCTTTGTTTACATCGCTTTTTGCGGTGTTCTTTGTCTTTGCGGTTTTTATATCGCCAACTCAAATTTCGAAAAGCGGCTGAAAACGCGGATCGCAAACATTGAACCGCTCGCGGCAACCGTTGAATAGAAACTGAATGTGAATTTGAATTTTATTCAATTTCAATTTTCTCTTTGCATATGGTCACACTATCTGACGTCGGTTTTGCCTATCGATATTTTTCTGTTAAAGAAAGAAAACAAAAGAGTGCAAGGTATACAGAAATAAAAAATGTGTACCTCTATTTTTCGAAGAGAGTTGTATTTCAATTATTTGTCTATATTTTTTACAAGTGTTTAAATGATAATTTCATAGGTAACGATATTTCCAGTCACTGTGACGCGATCGAATCAAGTTGTCCACCTCTAGCTGACACTGTAATATATCGATAGGACATCGATAGCTGGCAGTGAAATGCCAAAGGCCGTATAATTTTTTTTCTTTTCCATGTAATTTTCATGTCGTATGTTGCTTTTGAAATCAAATTAAACCTTTTTTGTTACTGAAATCCGCGACCACAGTCAGTTACTGCCGTAAGTAGGGATTGCGGCTGTTAGGCTGTCAGGCTGACCCGTAAAGGGTCCCATCCATACGACATTGCCTTTGCCCTTTGTTCCGAGTTCCACTCATTTACACACTTTCGCCTCGCCACCCGTAGGTAAATATGGATACGGAGAAGTCTAGCAGCAGCTCCTTCGAGGACCTGACCAACGCCGAGGACACCAAGGACATCCGCAAGGTGGCCGCGGAGGAGGCCGCCTCCGGAGTTGGAACAGCACCAGCGGCTGGTCTGGATGAAGATAAAAGGGCGGCGCAGGAGGATGCCGAAGAGCAGGCCGAGATCGAGGATGAATGTGATATACTGGGCAACAAGCAGCTAATAAAACGCACAATCAAGAAGGCGCCAGGGGATGTAGACAGGCGACCTTTGCGCGGAGAACTGGTCACCCTGAACTTCACCGGCAAACTGGACAACGGCAAGGTGGTCGAAGAGGAGAAGAACTTCCAGTGCCACGTGGGCGACTACGAGGTCGTCCAGGGACTGGACATGGTGGTGCCAATGATGCAGGTCGGCGAAGTGGCCCAGGTCAGCGTGGATCCCCGCTTTGGCTACGGCTCCATGGGACTGAAAAAGGATGGCGAATCCGAATATCTGGTTCCACCCGATTCGCATGTAAGTTTGACCTCTTAATCTCTTTAGGAGCTACTCTAAATGCTTTGATTTTCCAGCTTACCTACGAAATAGAGCTTTTGGATATCAAATACGAAGATTTTGCGGACCTCAAGAGCTTTGAAATACTGCGCAAATACGGGTATGTGATAAATGGGCATCGGTTTGGGGACACCTTTTAACTAAAACACCTTTTTAGCACCCGCAAGAAAGAACGCGCCAACTTCTTTTACAAGCGCTTGGAGTTCACCACCGCCATTCACCTATACAGACGTGCTCTTGACTTCCTGGACAACCGAGACGGGGATCCGGAATCGGAGTTTGACAAGGAAGACCTCGAGCTGTCGAACAGTGACACGCAGGCCTTGTTGGAGGATCGCTTGATAGTGTACAACAATCTTGCTATGACTCAAATCAAAATCGCCGCCTTCGACGCAGCGCTGCAGTCTGTGGAGCACGTCCTGCGGTGTCAGCCCAACAATTCCAAGGCCTTGTACCGCAAAGGCAGGGTAAGTGATTAGATTAAATAGTTAGGTTTCCATAAATTAACACCCTGGATTCCCCCACAGATACTGGAGGGCAAAGCCGACACTCAGGGGGCCATCAAGCTGCTGCAAAAGGTGGCCACTCTCGAACCCGACAATCGTGCCGTTCAGTCCGATTTGGCTAGGCTCTTCATCAAGGCTCGCCGCGAAGAGCACAACGAAAAGGAGATGTATCAGAAGATGCTGGGCCAGGCCAAGAAAATGGAGCAGAAGACTGCCACCAGGCAAAAGCAGCCCCTTGTGGACAACTCCAAGGTAGGAAATCTGCAGAGAATTTGATTAAAAATGATGATTAATCTCCAACCTCTCTTTCTTAGCTTAAGCTGCTGGGCTATCTGATGGGTTCAATATTAATTGGTGTAGCTGGCGTCGCTATTTATCGTTACAAGTACTAAGGACAAGCATTGCACATGAACTACTGGTTACTTTAAGCAATTGAAATGCATTTTTGATGGATATATATATATAAAAGGCAAAATTATGAATGTTGGAAAGCCGCAGTTGCTTACTATTACGATATGGCAATGGCTCTTGTTGTTCATTTAATACTATGCACACTTCACAATAGTATGTATCTTTTTTTTATGATATGGTTTTGGATATCGTACATATAATGTTAAAGCTTAATTTTATTCAATTACATTCTGTCAGACAAGTACCGGGAATTGTTTAAATAAACACAATTTTCTCCTCATTATTTGACAGCCGCATCCTTTTTATTTAACTTTTATAATTAACTATTTCAAAGACTTTTTAAATGGGCCAAAGTTAATTCATTTAAAACACCATCTGTACCCAATCACACCATATTTATGAACTAACAAAAAGTCGTAAAGCAAACGAAAGACCATATGGTAGCAATGATTTCGATAAGCAACACTGATTAGAAATCCCACTTTGGAAAAAGTTTAATAAAGTGTGTTTTGATTGGATCTATATATTTTTCTGGATTTTCTTTATTACTTAACTATTGACTTCTCAAGTTAAAATCTTTGTAAACTGAAAGGTTAACAAACTTTATTGTTAATCAAAATCGGAACATCCGTTCTTATGACTTTCTTCTATCGCAGTTTGAAACGATTTGTGACACAGCGAAAATAAATTTGCCGATTCATTGTTTGTATATACTATGGAGTATGTTTTTTGGATTTTTCAAGGCTGTAGCTATGGGGGGTCATGAAGGCAAAGCTTCGCAAAGTAGCGTATCTCTTATAAGAATTTAGACATTTAACTGACTTAGAATCAATATAAAAGGGAATTGTAGCAGATACTAACTACAGCTGTAAAGTATATACAATATAAGTAATCAGTTCGCTGTAGTTCCCTTTCAATATCATTGAAGTACACATTCCCAACTAATCAGAGTCAGAAGAAGTAGTTAATAACAAATCTCTTTGAGACAAAACACTTTTATTGGCTGGGTAAATATACAAATTCAAAGCTGGTCTTTTACAAAATCCTGAGAAAATACATGTGATGTGAGGGACTTAGGCCTTTGAGGCGACTTCGAGGGCCTGCTCCAGATCCTTGATCAAATCCTCGGCATCCTCCAGGCCAACGGACAGACGGACAAGGCCGTCGGTGATGCCCAATGTCTTCCTGTCTTCCGCCGGCACCGAGGCATGGGTCATCACGGACGGAAGCTCCGCCAGACTCTCGTATCCGCCCAGACTCTCAGCCAGGGCGAACATCTTGAGGGCCTTCAGGAACGCCGTGGAGTGCTTCAGCTCACCCCTGATGTAGAAGGAGAAGACGCCGCTGTAGCCGTAGGTTTGCTTCAGTGCGATCTCGTGCTGCGGATGCGAGGGCAAAGTGGGGTGCAGGACCTTCTCCACGAACTGGTGACTGTCCAGGAACTTGGCGACCTTCAGGGCATTCTTCTGGTGCTGCTCCATGCGCAGCGACAGGGTCTTCAGACTCCTGTTCACCTGGTAGCAGTCGAATGGCGACGGCACAATGCCCGCCGCGTTCTGCAGGAACTTCAAGCTGGCGTAGAGCTTCTCGGAGTTCATGGTGATGCCACCCATGACCACGTCCGTGTGGCCGTTCATGTACTTGGTCATGGAGTAGCAGACCAGGTCGGCGCCCAGCTCCAAGGGCCGCTGGAAGTAGGAGGTCAGGAAGGTGTTGTCCACGGCCAGGATCAGATCCTCCCGGACGCCATGGACAAGCTTGGCGATCGCCTCGATGTCGGCCACCTTGATCAGCGGATTCGTGGGCGACTCGATCCACACCAGCTTGGTCTCCGGCTTGATGGCCGCCTTGATAAGGTCCAGCTTGGTGGGATCCACAAAGGTGGCACTGATGCCCAGACGGCTGGCCACCTGACGGACCAAACGGTTGGTTCCGCCGTAAACATCATCGCCCATGATGATGTGATCGCCGCTGCTCAACATGGTCAGCACAGCGGTGGTGGCTCCCAATCCCGACGAGAACACCAGGCCGTACTTGGCGTTGTCCAGCGCAGCGAAGCACGTCTCCAGCACCGTCCTGGTGGGATTCCCGCTGCGGGAGTACTCGTAGCCCCTGTGCTCGCCCGGAGCATCCTGCTTGAAGGTGGTGCTCAGCGATATCGGCGGGATCACGGACGCACTCTTCCACTGCTCGGGGCTCTGGCCGGAGTGGATGGACTTGGTGGCGAAGCCGCTGGGCTGGACTCTGTAGCTCATCTTGTCTGGGGACGCGGATCGAACGGAACTGACACGTGTAGAGATCGGTCGCGAATATATATACTCCTGCCGTATGTTATCGCCTAACCAGTGCTGGAAAATCCCCATTTCCCCATTAACAACACTGCTCAAGGGCGGTTCTTTCACCGGAAGTGCAGCCGTTTTAGCTATTTAACGGTCAAAAAATTCAAAATACAGGCAATTCAGATTAAATTTGAATCTTTCAAACAAGTTATAGAAAAATTATTAATTAAAACAAGACAACTAATAAATAACATTTCATTAAAGTTTAAATAAAATTAATTTATGTTTTTCATTAATTTAATTTTATTGTATTCTGAATACGGTTGAAAAAAGTTGTATATATATGTATTGTATTTTAAATTAAGTTTTGTTTTAAATGTTAATATTTGTATGGTTAATAAAATAATAATTTATTCATTGATATTGATAGAGTACATTATATGTATAGATATTACAATCCCAGTTTAGGAGTATATACGATACTGACAAAAATAATCATGCGGAATGGGTGAGGGGATGGACTCCAGGGTCTACCACAGTTTGTCGCTGAATACGATCTCCTTGAAGATGCAGTCCTGTTTGGCAATGCTGACCATAGCCTTCTTCGACTTCATGGCATCCTGAACCTTTTCTCGCACTTCGGCCGCCTTCACATCGTTACGAATGTAGAAGAGGCGCACCAGGTGGTCTTCGTTTAGAGACGGATAACTGCCCAGTAACGTGTGCAAGTCCAGAACCAGGAGCTCAATGTCCGAGCTGAGCAGTGCTGATAGCGTGGATATGAGATCTAGCGGAGAGTCGCTCAGGGAAATCTTCGGTGCGATCTTCTCGAAGAAGAGTTTAAAGCGCTTGGCCTCTGTTTTGATTTTTCGGGTGATGGCATCGCATTCGGCCCGTGGCTTTGACAGCCGCTTGGAGAGCAGAGCCCGGATGTAGCGCTTGGCTAGCAGTTTCTGTGCCTCGTTGATGACCATCTCGAAGTTATTGGGCCGCAGGTGGTTGTAGTCCTGGAAGTAATCGTCCAGCGTCACGCAGATTGTGTCCACGGCAATGTTGCTGGCCAGCCACTTGGCGGTGAAGAGATCGTTGAAGTGGCACTCCATGTCCAGGAAGGCCTCCTCCAACAGGTAGCTGGCGGCGTGAGCCCGGATTCGCTGGAACGTGGCCAGGAGGCGCTCGAAATCCTCGTAGTGCTCAGAGCGCGACTTTGGCCAGTAGAGCTGCTTCATCTGCTGGGCCAACTCCACCATCTGCTGGCTGTTGTTTACGATGGTGATGATGTAGTGAGTGAAGTACTTAATCTGGTCCCGATTGCGGAAATGGTGGTCCTTCAGCTCGATCACATTTTTCAGGTACGACTGGCCAAAGATCTCCACCTGCTGGATGCTCATCACCAGCGCCTTGAACGTCAGCTCCTGGTGAATGGTGTTCGTCACTTGCAGATGCTGATCGATCATCTGGAATATGATAACCGGCGCCGACGTGTGATAGTACTCCTCATCCTGATCCGGCACCGTCTCGGTGAACCACTCCTGCTTCTCCGTCTCTGCGGCCTTGGTCATCCATTCCTGGAAATTGCGTTGCATGTTCTGCAGATACTCATCCTCCAGCGCCTTGAGATGTTCCGGCCGCAGCAGGGTTCCTATCAATCGATGCACATCCACGTTGAGATCGGGGTGGGACATCAACTCCACGCCCGGATACGTATGTGTGACCCAGGCCATCATTGATACATATTCGTTGCCCTCCAGACCAGAGCGTACAATGGTGTCCAACTAAATAGAATAATCTTTGTTTATGGATAACCCGGGAATACAAATATTTTGGTGGATTACTCACATAGCTGGAAAGTCCCTCGTGATAGAACTTGACGTACTCCCCGAATATATCGTAGTGCGGCGGAAAGCAGGGTACGCACAGTGACTTCACCACGCGTAGATCCTCGAGGATGATTTGGCGCAGGATCTCCAGGTCGCGCACCAGCCACATCTTGTTGTCCGCCCGCTCCTCCAGCTTGGAGCCCTCGATGCGCGTGACCACCGACTGCTGCAGCACGTCCATGATCATGCGACGCCACGCCTTGGGTCTTCCGGGCGGCAGGAAGCCCGTGACCTTCTGCTGCTGCAGGGCGAACTGGTCGTTCTTCTCCTCCCGCTCTATGATTCGAAGGGCGGTGACTATAATCGTGGGCTTCTTGCGCAGAGTGTTCAGCGTGCGGCTGAGGATCAGGCGCAGCTTCTTCTCCAGTTCCTGGGACACGGTGTCCACCTTCTCGAAGTGGCGCTTCAACGTGATCTTGTCGGAGGCGTGCTGCTTGGGCTGCTTGTGCAGCTCGTAGAGGAGATCATCGCGAGAGTTCTCCAGATCCGCCAGGCACTGGTGGGCATTGAGCAGCTTGTCGTCTTCGATCAGTGCCATCGTCTTTTGGACGCTGGCGTCCACGTTGAAGATATGCTTCAGGTTCTCCATGGCCGTGGCGTACTGCGAGTGCTTCGTGTTCTCCTCCCGGACGACCTCCAGTGCGTCATAGACCTCGGGCACGCCCTGCAGCAGGCGCTCCACCTCGTCCATTCGGCGCCTCACCTCGCGCACGTCCTGCATGCAGGTCTCCAGCTGCTTAAGACCTACTCTGACCCCGTCCAGTTGGCCCTGCATCCCGGTCTTGAGCAGCGCCTCCACGGAAGCCTTCTTTCGGGCGATGCGGTGACGGTACTGCTCCACCTTCTCTAGTTGACCCGGTCGCTGCAGCATGTTCTGTATGTCCTTGAGCGCCGCCTGGCGCGCCTGCTCTTCCAGCTGCTGCAAATCCATTCTTGGTTTGGTTCGATTCGCTCGTCGCTTCTACTGTTTTTGTTTTTCAATCTCGGTCAGCAATGGAAATGTTCAAGTGTGACCGTATTAAGTTTCGGTGGAAATACACTTTTCTATTATCAAGTAGCTACAGTGCAAAGTCGAAAGTCGAAAGCTGAAACCAGAAATTTTAAATTATTTATTTATGAGTGCAAAACTACTGTTAATTAAATTAGTATATTACTAAGAAATATTATATAATTTTTTAAAATAAATAATTAAGTTATTGTATTTAAATATTGTATTATGGGTTTAAAACTATTCTAAGTATTAAAAAATTATATTAATATTTTGTAAATTTTAAACTATTTAAACTATTGCTTTAAAAACTAACTTTTCCAAATACATAAAGTTCTCATGAAAAACTATGTTTATAAGCGTGTAACCACTGTAGTTATCGATAAATTATCTTTCTGCTGGCCTATCGCCATCGAGAGCTTTGTTTATTATTTGCTGCCCAAACGTAAACAACGCCCCCGCAAAACATGAGTGTGAATAAGGAGATGATTTTGCAATTCGCACCATGGGAATCCTTTGTGTCGCCCACCTTTTGGCACAAGCTGGCGGAGATTAAGCTTGACTTGGATCGCCTGTCCGACTCCAAGCGTTCCATTAGTGGCCACTATACAAACCGCAATGCCAGTGGATGTCTCCTGGAAGTGGACTACACAGCCTACAACAGGTAAGTTGGGATGGGTGGAGGCGATTGAACCACTAACGCTAATGCACCCGCATTTCAGGACAGCACAGCCACCGAAATTCAGCCATTCCGCCATCGGCACCATCTACAATAAGAACACAATCGAAGAGTTCAAGGCCCTGGACAAATTGCAACTGCTTGCCGATGAGGGCAAGGAACTGCTGGCTGATATGTGCAGTGGTGCCGTGATGAGGGATCCCAGTCTGTTGACCCGCTTCTTTGTTCTCTCCTTCGCCGATTTGAAGTGCCACAGCTACTACTATTGGTTCGCCTTTCCCTGCCCACTAACGCCCACCTTGAAGCTACTGGGCGCGGTCCAAAAGCTCCGGGACCTACCCAATAGTATTAGCTACATAGAGGCCTTGAAATCCCTGCCCGCTGAGTCGTCAAACTTCTTCATTCTATATGCTAATAACGAGCAGGATGTCTTTGAAGTCCGGAAATTAAGTTCTCTGGATGAAAACGAAGTAGAACATTACTATTTTGGCTTTGCCGATCCTAGCGAATATGAGCATCCAGCTTGGCTGATGCGGAACTATGCTGCCTTTCTGCTCCAGCAATGGTGGGTAGTATTCTTAACACTTGTAGCTTTTATAACCACTATTTACTACCCATTACAGCCCCTCATTCGTTGGCAAAACACTCAAGTTTCTGGGCCTGCGATATAGTCAACAAATGCAGGTGGATGAAAGCCTTATCTGGCAGGTGATCCAAACTGAAGCTTGCGATTTAAGCCAAACCGGGGAGGTGAAATTTGTGGGATGGGAGCTGAATAAAAATGGCAAAATGTGCCCAAGAATGGTCTGCATGAGGGACAGCATGGATCCAGCCAAGTAAGAAAATAGCTTAAGATCCAAGTGATATCATTTTTATAATATATTAATTACTCCACGCAGACTGGCTGAGAACTCCGTGAACCTCAATTTGAAACTAATGAAATGGCGCTTGGTTCCCGATCTCAATTTGGAAGTCATTTCCCAAACCAAATGTTTACTTTTTGGAGCTGGTACTTTAGGCTGTGCTGTGGCAAGGAATCTGTTGGTAGGTTTAGTTAAATGTATTCCGCAGAGCATGTTTAAATCCTTTTTCTTTTTAATTAACAGTCCTGGGGCTTTAAGCACATTACCCTGCTGGACAACGGCAAGGTAGGATTTTCTAATCCAGTGCGCCAGAATCTATACACCCATGCGGATGCCGTGGCGGGCAATCGGATGAAGGCCACCACAGCAGCGCAGAGACTGCGGGAGATCAACCCTTCTGCGGAAACGGCAGGACATGTTCTGGAGATTCCCATGCCTGGACACACAATTGGGGAATCCCTGCTTGCCCAGACGAAGGAGCATTTGCAGGTGATAGAGCAGCAGGTTCGGGATCACGATGCAATCTTTCTGCTTACGGATTCACGAGAGAGTCGTTGGCTGCCCACGCTGCTTGGAGCGGCTAACCAAAAGGTGGGTACTCGAAAAACAACCATTTCAGGAAATGAAACTAATCTTTACTCTTCCAAGATTGTGATCAATGCAGCCCTTGGCTTTGATAGCTACCTAGTGATGCGACATGGCACCACTCGCGAGGAGGCCGGCGACATTGGACAAGAGATTGAGGGACTCAAGTGCATTAGGGGTGATCAATTGGGTTGCTACTTCTGCAACGATGTCACGGCACCGGGAAACGTGAGTTTAAGCTTTTAATGTTTAAGATAGCACAAGTATTTTCAGACTTAGTTAGTTTGGTTAAATGGTTACTAGACACACTCGTAATCATGGCGGGAATACTTCTCGAAGCCAGCGCAAGTGGGGTCTCCCGTCTGCAGGTGATCCACACCGGTTATCTGCACCACCAGGCCATTTATGGTGGTCACCTTGAAACCCACTAGATTCATCATGGCATTCGATGTGCGCCAGGCGTAGCTGAAGAAGTTGTAACCATCCACGGCGGTGAGGACTTCCCGATCCGTAAAGGCGAGCGCCAATTTAAACTGCTGATTGAAGACGAATGGAAAACCGCCGTGGCGTTCCTCGTTTCCGAAACTGCAAAAGAACAGTCAGTTATACCACTCAGTATTGCCAGATTATAAGGCCAGCTTACTCAAAGTTCTTGTTCATGGAATTGCGCACTACCGCCTTCTCGTCGAAGCGCACACTGAAATGGAGCTCCTCGCGCTTGGTGTCCGAGTCCATGAACTTGAGGATGAACTGGCCCTTCTTGTTTTCGAAGCAGCGAGCTGTAAGGACGATCACATGGCCAGGACTAAACAAAATGGGCTGGTCGTTGCTAAACGCCTTAAAATAGTCCGAGGCGTGGATGGCAGGCCAGGGATTGGGAAACACAGTGCGGTGATCAACCTGCTTGATCACCTGGATCTGGTCACGAATCTCCACTGCACGAAGCGCTCCCAACGGCATCCGGTAGCGGAACCTGCAGTATTCCCGGCTGTTTATGGAGATGGCGAAGCTATCCTCTAAGCACAAGATGTACACCAGGAAAAACTCGCCACTGACGATGGGATTGGGCAGAGTGTTGGGGTCCGGGACATGGGTCTCCTCCTCGCCCCAGGCGCCCATCACCCGGGTGTTCCTTACGATCACATCGTTGCGGAAATAGCACGAGAAGCGTAGCCCAATGTCCGCGTTCGGATCCACCGTGCACTTTGCCGTGCAGAGGTTGATGTGGAACCTGCCCAAAATGAAGCAATCATAATCGAGACATTAGTCACGAACTGATAAGGAGCCTAGTTTGACAAGTGATTAGTGAAAAACCGGGTGTAGGCGCAGGTAACAGAATCAGAATCAGAATCTTGAACACCTCTCACCTGGATGCTCCATCGATGGTCTTGGCCACGATCTCTAGAACATGTCCGAACTCCAGCGGATGCGAAAGATTGCCAGCGAACTCGGTCAACATTTTCCAACCAATTCCTTTCTGTTTTCGCCAGCAATTACCAATCGAACTAGCTATCGCCTTTGCACTGAACGAACACAAAGTGTATTTTTTAGGGCCGTGGGAGAGTCCGGAGTTCTCCGGCTCTCCGGAGCCTTATCTAATCAGCAGTGGGCGGAGAGGCGGGTTACTCAAGTAACCGATGGAACCGCGAAAGTTGCTATACTTTAAGTAAGGTGTATTGGCCAAACTGTTTGTTTTGTTCTCGTCCGGCGGCGTCATCTCTGCCTGCTCGGAGCATGTGTTTGTTGACACTGTAAAGCTTTCGCAAGCTTTTGGACCTCCACTGCACCGGCGCCAAAGCTCTACGAGATCACACTGAACAAATGCTGATATATCTTAAGATCGATCCGGTTTTAACCCTATATGGATAAATGCATGTTTAAGTCATGTATGACCACAAACAATTGTAAATTGTTTATTTAAATTTTAAAAATAACTACAAACATATAAAACATTTTGGATTGGCAATTAATATATTTTTGGAAATTATAATTTTTGGTTTCCATTCCTTACAGTCTCTCAAAGATCGCACATTGGATCAGCAGTGCACTGTGACCCGACCCGGAGTATCCAATATTGCAGCTAGTTATGCGGTGGAGTTGCTGGTGGCCTTACTCCAGCATCCTCAAAAGGAACTGGCACCCGCCTACTACGCCCAGAGTGGGCGTGGCAAATCGGAGGAGGCTGCAGGCAAGGTGCCGGAGGGTCTACTGGGCATTCTGCCCCACTCCATCCGTGGAATGCTATGCAACTATGAGAATATTCTGCCCGCTACCCAAAAGTTTGCTCAGTGCATCGCCTGCTCAGTGGTAAGAAATTAAAAAACCCTGACTTTCTTTATACGAATTTAAAAATCTAAGATTAAGTTTAATATAAACAAAATATAAATATTTTCTTACAGGCCGTTTTGAAGGCTTATAAAAACGAAGGACATGCCTTCCTCTTGAAAACTTTCGAAACTGCAAAATATCTGGAGGATTTGACTGGAATCTCCGAGTTCAAGCGTTTAAACAGCGAGGTTTGTGGCATTGTTATTTAATTATCATGTTACTATTTATAAGTTTTATATATTTTGTCCAGATAATCGATTTTGATGATGACGAATTCGATATGTCCGAGGAGGATGAAGATTAACTTGCATTTTACATTTGAAGTGAAGTGAGATTAACCTTATCGAGGCTTCAAGTTTATATTTTCAGCTGAATTTAGTATGTGAGCATTTAGAGTTTAATGCCTAAGCCAAAAAAAAAAATGTAAGTGTATCGATGTTTTTATGTATATTATATAGTTATTAAGAAAATTGTATACCAATAATAATTAAAAGTAATGGAAGAAATGTGCACATAAAATGCACACTTTAGATTCAGTTTGTCTACCAAAAGCTCAAGTGAATCAAGCAGTAATTTAATATTGGAACACACATATTTATTTCCGTTAAATTACAAGTCGTCGCCTTTGGCCTCTGTTGTTTGTACAAAACGTGTTCCTGCTGATAAGAACATTAATTCAAACGCGCAAATATTGTTCTGATTTGAGGAATCCCACATTTATGATTGAAAAATATAAAAATATTGTTTTCGATTCGCCAACGGTCAATGATTTTGTTATTAGCTGCATTTTTAAGGCGAAAATACGAAAACAAAGATGAATGTTCGTTCTGAATTGTTTTGGAAATATGCAAATGATTTACAAATAGTGGGCCAGGTGTGCGAAAAGAATAGTTCAAAGTTGAATAAACCTGGTTAGAAAGCCACGAACTAATCGCAAATGTTAATGAGGCGGTGGTAAATGGGGTAAAAATATCTCACTATCTTTGAGATACACTTACAATATAAATTTCAAATATACAAAAAACAAACACAATTAAAAAACCATTTTAATCTAGAAAATATTTTGAAAAACTTTTCAATAAAATTATGCATTTAAAATTTTGTTTTTAATGACAAAAACTGAATGTGGTTTCCACTCAAATGTTTTTAAAAATATTGTCGAGCCAAGTGTTTTGAGCTAAGCAAATATTGACAACCCGTACTTGACACACAATTGTTATAGGTCTTTATAAAACCTTTCATCATTTGACCCCAGGCTGGAATTCGGCTAGAGAATTCCATCGAGTGGCTATGACAAAAGGCTCTCGGCCATTTCTTTTAGCCAAAAAAGCAAATAACCAAGAAGATCGGTTGAGAAAACAAAGAAAAAACGGCACGACTCCATAATTAATAGTTGGACCGGGGGGAGAAATGTATTGAAATATCTGGCCGCTCAACCTCTTGTCGACATGGTAGCATAAATTTCGGGCCAGGCCAACTGATCAAACAACAACAAGCCCAGGTTGGGCCGAGTGAAACCGCTTTGGGTTTGAGTTTGGCTCGCGGCGACCAAAAGCGCTCAAAATGCCATTCGAGCTGCGTCGTTATTCTGCCGGCGTCGTTTTTGTGACTCGTATTGCGTTTTGAGTGGAAACTGGGGCTTTGCTGGCCAAGATCTCCATAAATTGGTGAAAGATACCCAAAACAGGCACACAAACCCATCGACGCGCATCCAAGTGGCAACTAACCAGTGAAAATTCGTAAAAAGTGCAAGTCCAAGTCCTGAAAATAAAAGTTTTTTTTATTAAAAGTGAATTTCAAAATTAAGCCAAAATTATTCAGTTTCCTTAGCTAAGTTAAGACTTCAAAAAATTAAACAAAATGGTAAGTCCTTTGTCCTTAGAGTCCCAACAAACCACCTTTCTTTTCTTAAATATTTTGAAAATTTCGCTGCAATCTTTAGTTTATTGAACTGCCTTGAAAATTACCTCCGACTTTCCACCAATTTTCCAAATTGTTTTCGTTTGTTCGCTTAATATTGACTTGACGCAAATGGCAGTTCGTAGCTTTTGGGTTTTTGCTCTGACTTTGCTATTGGCCTTAACCTGTTGCGAAAGTTGGCTGCCAAGCTGGCAGTTTAATGCTTTTTGGCCATTGCAAAACATTTTTCAAATACCAAACCGAAATACATATGTACCTTAATGTGGCAGTTGGGGGAAAATATTTAGTAACACAGCTGGGAATCGTAAAAATGTAATTACTTTTAGACCAAGTTCACTGCTGACATTGCAGCCAAGATGGAAAGTGTTTTCTTTAGCAGACAATTTACTTCTAGTTACATAATACTATTTTGGGGGTTCTTCAATATAACAACTTCAAGGGAACAATGAAATATCCTTTGTTTACTCAGTTGTTTTTTTTTTTTGAATGGAGAAAGTAAGGTCAGTGTGTTAGTCACTTTGAACTTCCTGAATCACAAAGAGACCTCAAATGCGTTGTCACATCACTTAAGTGATCTTTACAAATGAGCAATGGCAGGCAATTAAAATAAATGTGTAACCAACCTGAAAGTAGGCAATATGTTTCAATAATTTATTGCAAACAAAACTCAATTTTTGCCCAGAAAAATTACCTGCGTTTTCGTAAATGAAATTAGCATTTCAGGGTTAATCCCTGGTCGATAATAAATATCAAAGTTTTGATGGTAGAACCCGTAGATCTTCAAGAAAAATAGCACCGCTCGGATTTTTTTGAATGCGTCAGCAGGCAGGTTTAATCAGCTATCAGTGACCATGCCCCCTTATCGCCCAATATTTGTTCGACAAATATATATTAGAAATTTGTTTTTTATTCGCCAAGAGATGCCAATAGAGCGCCATTAACCTCTTGTCCAGATTTTGAGGCGCATCTGTTCATCTGTTGAGCCCTCCTGGCAACATTCGATCCATCTGTATGGAGGCATACGTACGTATATTATATAGAACAGGGTATGGGCAAAATCGACTATTGATAAGGAGGCTTGGGCGATAATCGGCGACGACTTCTTCTTTTTTGTTATTGCTTCGGATTTGCGCCTTCGACTTACGTCCGATCCGATCCGATTCGATCCGATCCGATCCGAGTAGATTATGATTATATAGCCGGAGGAGGAGAGCATCATGTCCAGAAATCGGGGTGTCCGTTCAGTTGAATTTTTGCAATCCGAGGTGGAGCGTGTGCGATTACTGGAAGCAATTCAATCTACTCAAACAGCATCCAATCGGAATATACATATATAAATATATATACATATAGCTACCTATCACCAGCGATCATCGACTTTACAACGTAATTCATCTAAATCAATTGAGAATTGAACTCTATAGACACTATATATGGGTACTTTTCGGCGCACTTCAGCTTTAACTGATGAACCACTATTTTAATTCGAATCCATAGGTCAATCAGAGCAAGCCCAAAATGGCCCTGTCCAAGATCGATTCCGAGATAGAGCAGGTGGACCAGGAGAAGTACCTGCGCCAGGCCACCAGCTATTATCAGGCCCTGGAGAAGCCGCTGAAGTACGGACCCGCGGTGGACACCCTGACGGATTTGGTGGCCGCCCTGCATCGGGAGTTTGAGTCCAACTACGTCAACATCGAGATGGTTAACCACCTGATGCTCACCTACAAGTCCAATCCACGGGAGTGGCGCAAGTACGCCAAGTTCGATCGTTACAGCTACACCCGGAATCTGGTGGATGCCGGCAATGGCAAGTTCAATCTGCTGATCCTCTGCTGGGGCGAGGGACACGGCTCCTCGGTGCACGACCATGCCGATTCCCATTGCTTCATGAAGATGCTGAAGGGGGATCTGCGCGAGAAGCGCTATGAGTACCCCAACCGATCCGGCAGGGACACTGCCGCCCGGCACTCCCATCATCCCGATGGCGAGATCGACAGTCGAGAGCTGGTGGAGATCGGTGAGACACCGATCGCCGTCAACGATGTGGCCTACATAAATGGTAAGAATATTTTGGAACTTGCAAAATATGGTACTTTTATGTACTTACTGGATGTGTGTGTTTTTTTGGAATTTTTCACAGACAACCTGGGACTGCATCGCGTGGAGAATCCCAGCCACTCGGACACCTCCGTCTCCCTGCACCTCTACTGTCCGCCCTTCGACACATGCTCCGTGTTCCAGGACAGCCTGAAGAAGACCACCGCCAAGGTCACCTTCTGGAGCAAGTACGGCGTAAGGACGAAGCAGAACGAGCAGTAGTTCCGGCCAGATCCCCAAATACAGTCACTCGTATTGTTGCATATTGCTAAGAATCTTTATTACTAGATGTTTAATGAGCTAGGGCCCCAAGGAGATCCGGGAAACGGGAGATCGGAGCTCAAACCGGAAACAGCAAACTGAAGCCGAACAGAGAGAGGGCCACGTGGACGCTGATAAGCCCTCCTCCGATAAGCCCTCCCCGGATCACAGTTTCCCCCAGTGTTGTATCTTTAGTGTTAGCTGTACCAAAAATATTCAATAAATAGGTATCATTCATTGTATTGTATCATTGACAACTTCTCGACAGGCGTATTGAGTGTGCACATCCTAGAGGTCCAGGCGGCGATCCCGTCCAGATCTCTTGGGCGGACCCCGGTCCAGGGTCTGCTTGATCGACTTGAGCAGCCCCGGAATCAGGTTTATGTGCCTGTCCACACAGCTGCCCGTGCAGCTCTCGAACAAGTGCTGCGATCGGGACATGTCCCGGTCAGTCGGATTGCTGGGCATTTGGGAACGGGCATCGCTGTTGCAATCCTGTGGGTTGACATCCGTATTAGTAACTTTCATCGGATACAGAAGGTGGAATAGCGAATCGATCATATATATACATGTCATTTGCTCGGAAAATAAATGGGTATACGTCATGGACTATCGTTTTTAAAATCAGTGAAAAGGTCTGAGTGGCTAAACTAAAGAAAAAAGTTAAAATGAGGTATTTCATTATATCCCTCTTGATAAATCGACACATAAGGCAACTCAGAAAAAAAGACTTTTGAATGCATGCTATAAAATTTGCTTATTGTCTACGATAGACAGATTGTAAATAAAATCGTTAAAAAAATAAAAAAAGAATGCATGCCGTTAGAATTTTTTATACAATTATTACTTGATACACCCTTAAAACATAAATAATAACCAAGCAAATTGGTTTTACTCTTGAACATCCCTTTTTACAAGCTTTTATAAAAAGTGTGCATCAAGAATTTGATCACCAAATTAATTATATTTGTATACACTTGCAAAAATTATTATAATTTAGTATTATAATTTATTATTATAATTTAAGTATCAGCTTTAAAAATCTTGATAAAAGTTTCCCAAAATTATTATTATTAATTAACGATTTTAATTTTATTAAGATCGTGCATTGCTTTTATACATTAGCGCATAAAAATCAAAATTTGGTGGTTTTATAGAATATTTATAAACTTTCTGCCTGACATGTTTTAAAAACCACGACTATATTCTAATATGTGAAACAAAGAAAGCTACTCAGTCCTTGATCAAGATCATAATCGCTTAATAGATAAGTACCGCTTTTAACAGCATCTAATCAATAATACTATACCCCAAACGCTAAGGATTAAATGCACTCTGCCTACCCTGACGCAGTTCTGGAGTCGGTTCTGAAACTGTCCCAGCTCGTGCTGCAGGTAGTCCTGGGCATCCATCAGTGGCCCGGCGCACTTCTCGATGCAGTTCTGCACGCTCTCCAGGGTGCCGCGTTCATCATCGCAGCAGCGGGCGGCACAGCGGTGCATCGTGGACTTCGGATTGTTATCCTTAGCTGGAGTTCATCATGGCCACCATAAAGGAGACTATACTCACCTGCATCCTGCGCAAGTGGGTGCGGTACATGTCCTCGATCATATCGCTGATGGCGTTCTCCAAACGCTTCTTCTGTTGCTCCACCATTGGACTATTCGGAATTTGAACAATTTTGGAAATAAACAACCAAATTTTGCTCTGACAGTTTTCGGTGTACAAAGTATGTGTATTTTTTTTAAGTGATGGCAAAGTTTGACATGATTCCAGAGATTTTAAGCGTTACATTTGATCGGTACTTAAAACTTTTAACAACTAATAAGCTAAGTTTTGTTTGAAATTCTAAAATGTAAGACGTCTCCGGAGAATGTAAACAACGCACGTCTTTAAGGTAAACGAGTTCAATGAATAACCGGGTAGTAAATGCAAGCTGACTTAGACTTGGGGGATGCTCTCGGGACCCTTGGAGAGCACTGCCTTCATGGTCTTCATCATGCCGGGGATGAGGCCCACATGTTTGTCCACGCACTGGATCGCACAGCGCTCGAACTGGTCGGTGTACTTGGCTATCTGATCCTCGTTGGGATTGGGCGGCATTTTAACCTTCACGTCGTCGTTGCATTGCTGTGGAGGAGAATACATTTAAAATTCTAAATTCCTGTTCTTAATCATAATCTTGAGGAAGGTATTGATTTTTATTTTATAGTAATGTTTGCGGGTAAAGTGACCTGAAGCATATCAACATTTTACTGGAGTTATAAAATCTTTAAAACATGTAAGCAAATTGTTATTGTAAGTAATATATGACTTTTCTCTTCCTATGAATGAAGCACTAAAAAACCAATTAAGAATCATCTAAAAAAGTATTGCTTACTAAATTAAATTTAAAAAGACTTTAAGAAAAGGACTTGGCTAATAGGTCTTAACGTTTGATATATAAGATAATTTTCTATTTGTAATAACTTTTACAAGTTTCATATTATTAATATTTAAACATGAATATTTTAAGCAATTGAAACAGCAAATAAGTGTATACACTGAATTAGAAAACAATAATTCGAAGTATTTTAAGAATCTGCATGAGAAATCAAATAAATAGAGTTACTCAAATCTGGATCTGAAAATCTGCCCTACTGCAGCATACATAAATTAAAGAAATCTGCATTCAATTCTAATCTGCTATAATGAAGTCTTCAAAGAGTCCTAAGAGCCTGAATGAGAAACCAAATATTGAGAAGTTATAGAAATTGGGTTTTGAAAATCTGCTCATCATTTAATGATTCCCAGAATCCCTATAGTTGTCATGACTATCCTAATCAACAGGTTGATGAAATGGGTACTGACCATGACGCAACGCTGAAGTCTGCCCTGGAACTCTCCCAGTTCGTGTTGGACGTAGTTCTGGGCCCTCGTCATGGGCGTGGAGCAGCGGTCCACACACCTCTGGACACTGTCCACGCTGGAGGTTCCATCTTGGCAGCACTTGGCCGCGCACAAATGCATCTCGTTCTGGAACGGGTTGAAAAGCATGTCAATCCCGGGATTTTCCCTTCAGATGACTTCACTTACCTGCATTTTGCGCAGGTGCGTCTTGTCCATGTCGTCGATCATCTCCGTCACCGCGGCCTCGATTCTCTGACGCTGTTGCTGGATCATATTGCTGGTTATTTATTAATTTCCTACGCCTCTAACAGCCGATTTCGTAATATCAAAATAAATGCCGGCAGCGTGTTTTTTGTAATTAGTGATGTGCCGTCGCAGCTGTGATTAATCGATAGCCGGTCTATCGATACAGCTCTTCTTCTTTGTTTTTCCAATTGGTTTGGTTTTTCCTTGTGAATAAAAATATTAAATTAAAACCATGTCGCTGCTGCAAAAACTGAGCAGATCCGGATTCCAGATGGCTTCCTTGAGCTCCCGCCATCGAATGCCAGTGGCCATGCGGTTGATTAGTGGGGAAACCGAAAAACCAGCGGAGGGAGCTACTCCCGTAGAGAATCCGGCGGAGATTGGCGGCAGCAAGGGAGGATTTGCACGCGCCTTCGACAAGTACACGGCCCCTGCCACGCCCACTCAGCCGGAGGAGGACAACCAAACCTTCGCCTCCCTGCTCCGCAACTCCAAGATGATAGATGTGAGTTAAGTCCATGAATTCCACCTTGTTTATGTAATAACCACTTGATTTCGGGAGCAGTTGGGCAGCGCCGAGGGTAAGGTGGTCAGTGGAAAGATCTTCCATGTGGTGGGCGATGATCTCTACATTGACTTTGGCTGGAAATTCCACTGCGTCTGCAGTCGTCCAGCTCGCAATGCCAGGTGAGTGCCATGGAACACCCTATTTCCTCTTAATTTAATAAAGCAATCCCTACTCTTAGTGACTATGTTCGAGGAGCACGCGTTCGGCTGCGCATCAAGGACCTGGAGCTGTCCACCAAGTTTCTGGGCTCCTCCAAGGACATCACCATTCTGGAGGCCGACTGCCAGCTGTTGGGAATCCTGTCCACGCCCACCCGCCAGTCGACGGCCAGAACAACGCCCAAAATCGAAGATATCTTATAAATCCTTTATTAAACCAAGGTCTGTTAAATGTTACGTCAAGTCTCCGTCCTCGCTGGTGGTGAATTGGAACACCTCGTAGTGGTGGTTGAGTTCCCGCACCGAGTGCAGCTGGAATCGGGAGACCAGAGCTCCGTTCTCCGAGTTTCTCAGGAAGAACACCCTTTTGGCTCTACTGTGAACCAGGGCCATGGAGCACATGAGGCAGGGTTCCTGCAGCAGATAGACATCGTAGCCGGTGCACAGATAGGGTCCGAATTTGGCCAGATTGTCTGCCCCTTGCACGTGCTCCACTTCCTTACTCTCCCTCGACTTCTCTGCTCCGAATGTCAGGTCTTTGTACTCGTCATTTTTCCTCAGGTAATCGTAGTAGGCTTTGGGTATGCCCCGCAGCGTGGTTTCCTCCGCCTCCGCCTCCGAATCTTCGGTGAATGGGAGATCCGTCTTTGTGGCGCCTCCTTCTTGACTTCGGGCCACAAAATCCACCAGCAGCATGCCGCAGTGTTCGTGTGGGCTGGCGGACTCACTGGCTCCTGCGATGGACACTATGCTCGGTTGTCGTGGATCCACACAGATGCCCACCGGTCGACTCGCATTCACGTCCCGCGAGAGCCTCACCAGCAGCTGGGCCATCCGCTTGTGGAAGATGCGTTGTCCGGCGCTGAAATTGGTGCCATTGCGCAGCGATTCCGAGTAGTGATTCGGGTGGAACTTGCAGGGCCAGTGCTGGATGGTCTTCTCGTACTGCGCCCGCAGCCGGGGCATCCGTTCCGGCACATCCACCACCCGGACTCCATGGCACAGGGCACGCAGCACGTGCTCCGAGAAGGCGAACTGTTCGAGGTGCTGCTCGAGGGTTTGGGATACACCGATCTCCGAACTCGGACAGATGAGCACGCTGCGATCCCGGACACGCTTCAGATGCTGGAAGTGGGGCAGTTTCTGGGACAGCTCCTGGATGACCGCCTGCAACTGCTGCTTCGTCTCCAGCTGGCAACTGTGCGCCTTGATGAGCGCTATGTCCTCGTCGAACTCATCGGACAGGATGGCCCGTATACCCGTGATGTCCTGGTCCAATGTTTGTGATTTCCGTGCACGTTTGTTTGGCGGTGGAGCCACCGCAATATCCATTATTTATTTAATTCTTTCGGTCAGTTGGGTGCTAATTGGAAACGATAATTAAGCAAGGTTATCGGTTAGCTCTAGATTTGCTATCGATAAATCAGCTCTCAAACAGCTGATTGTGCTAGAAGCGCCAAATTTGAAAGTAGGTTCTTTACTCAAAGTAAAAATTAGATTAAAGAAAAAAACAACTAACAAATTAAATTGTTCTTTACTTGTTTTTGTTGTCAGCATGTAATACTGTGTTCAAAATTCTAGTGAAATATGTGCTTGTAATTTCTAGTCAAAAGAGAAAAATGTGTCTGCATTTGTTTTGCGGCTTTGCATCGCTCTACATCGGTTGCATCTTCATCGGCCTCACGGGGATGCTTTTGGCCGTGACGATCTTTTCTGTGGGTCTGTTCGAGCTCGTCATGGGCAACACAAACTTACTGCTCGTGATCTTGGCAATGGTCTTCGGCCTCATCTTTGCCCTGGCCAAATTATTTGTGCTCTTTGGCACTTTGTGGGTGAGTGCATGTTTGCTGTATGAGCTTTTAAACTCTTAGTCCTTACCCTGATTCCCATCCAATCACGCAGGACATTTGCTGGGCCATGCTCATATCCTTTTTTATCGGTCTGGTGGCCGTATCGCTTCTCATTGGCCTGGTGGTAATGTTCTACCTCAGCGTACAGAACTCACTACACCTCCTACTAGGCGCTATCCTGTGCATAAGTAAGTTGTGGCTTAAATAATTCGGTTGAAATTTGTTCGTACGGCAATGTATGTACATTCCAACCGAATTTCTACTAAGAGATTTTTGAGATTTTTCGATATTAATTTATAAGCTTTAAAGTTAATTATTTCTATAGTATAGTTCAGCAAAAGATCAATATATCATATTAAATAAAATAAATTAATTTATTTTGTTAAAATTGGCATACCTGAACGCTATATATTTTATATTAACCATTTATTTTATAAACTCTAATCAAATAAGCTCCTAAATTCAAGACAAGATTGCTCTTAATAAATAAAATGAATTACAAAATTAAAGAATAAAAAAAATTTAAATTAAATTAACAAGTACTTGCCAAATTAACCTTGTTAAAAATATAATAATAAAATATAATATTTTACTTCTTACCCAGTTGAACTGTACTACGAGTGGATCATCATATCCACTTGGTGGTGCTGTCGCAGTTGCACGCACGATTGCTAGGAGTTGCTAGGAGTTGCAGTTGCAAGCAAGTGATCTTGGCTCGCAACTCGAACCTGTTGGAACTCAACGTCTTGGGACCACTTGTAGTACCGAAAAGCAGACTTAAGAGAGCAGCTGCCTAAGAGAACGTGGATCCGAAGTGAGTGCGGCTGGGGTCTTCCGACATTGAGTGTCTCATACACAAGTCAGTTCGATCTGAGACGCGCGATGGAGCAGTCGAGCTGCCCCAGCGAATGAGCGTGTGAGTGTGTGTCTGTGTACTGCCCCCTACCCGTCGTAATAAAGATACAAAATATATCTGGAGAAAATAATATCTGAAAATACACAAGTGTATCTGCATGTGCAGCCGTGTCTGTGCGACGAGTGTGTTTTTTATTTACCACAATTAGAAGTAACGGAACGGTGCGAAGGTGATTTCCACGGGAGAAACTGAAAAATAAGGAAAATTGGAAAATCGGCGAAGCGCGAGATACTTGTATCTGCAATTAGTGAGTCTTCGTTTTGTTTTCGTTTCGCAACAACAAGTGGAAGAGCCATTATTTTAATTCAATCAGCGATCGAGCGTTTGTGTGTGGCCCACAATTTCCATTCTAGGCCCAAATAAAAGTCATAAAATCCACAATTTCTGAGATAAAAGTTCGCGAGCCGGTTTAGTCATACGAAAGTTCCGAGAACTGAGCGCAAGTTAGAGATACATTCGCGTATTCTCGTTCGCAATCGTTGTTGGCCAACAGCTGTTACCGCTGGCCAGAATGCCTCCGTACCTGCTGGATATTTGCTTTACCCTGGAGCTTCGCAGACCGCGATAAGATATCGGCGACTAGTGGTGGTGAATAAAGCAGATAGTCGTACCTGCGAAAAATACACGACAAACAAACGGAAAAGAAATCGCACAGTTCGGTGTCTAAAGTTAAATCGTTCGCTTATCTTATCGGCTGGTCATTGATTGAGCTTTGCCTTTCCGCTCCGCTCCGCGTCGGGTGAAGTCATTGGGCCACCATTCGCCCATTTTAGATACTTTATCTAATGCAGCAGCCAAAGCAGTCGCAATATACGCCGATAATAGCAACCTCCTTCAGTGTCAGTTGCCTTGCAATCGTTGTCTAAATTAAGAGGAAACCAGGAGAGCAGAGCCCAGTTCAGGCCAGTCCAGGCCAAGCCAAAACAAGAAGCACTCGTAAATCAGGCAGTCCAGCCGGAGAAGACCAAGATGGACATAGAATCCGATTCGGACACCTCGGAGAGATGGGAGGACTTTTTTGGTAAGCGGGCGGGATCACTGAACTCCTGCGTGCAGAAATGGCATGACTCAACGGGATGGGGAGGTGCACAGAGAAAAATACATTTATCAACATAATTTCCACAGAATAAAGTCGCTTGATTAATGAGATTTTGAGATATATACTTTTATTCTACGCTGGCTAATTTCTAGAAGAGCAATCTTAAAGGTTACATCAAAGCGATTTGCATATATCACAAAAACTTGTTGTGCATTTCACACTAATAGTTATTGAAAAATTCTTTTAAAGTAAGTTACAGAAATCATTGATATAAATCAAAATATTACAATATTATATCAATATTTTTCTGGTTTTGAAAATGCTAAATTAGTGATTAGTGGATCGCAAAGCTGTTAAGGCAAACTCCCACTATCTGTATTTATTATTTGTATAAAACACTATCTGATATTTTTTTTATGTGTGTGGACTCTACGCATTCTCGAAGAACTCCCAATATGGACATGCGTTCAAGAACAGACCATCAAGTTGGCTTTATTTGGCTTTTGGCTCGAGTGGATGGAATGGGATGAGTTGGGGGCCATTGCATTCGGTGGCTCGCCGGATTCGTTCCGTTCCGTTCCCATAACTGTACAAAAGAGGGGGGAGGAAAAATAAAATAACAACCCACTGAGTGGTGGCATTGCGTGAATTGCGGTGTAACGGGTTCGCTTTGTTTTTGCATTCCGCTTTGCGCAGTACGAATTCGCAACTGAATCCGAATGCGAATCTTTTCGACATTATTTAAGCGCTCGAAATGTCGGTTGTAATGAAATTTAATGATAATACATAATTTCGGGCTTTTGACCCACATTACCAGACAAGTGTGGCCAAGAAAAGGTCTGTCTTGAGATCTGTCTTGCAATTTATGTTTTGGGTGGTGGCTGCCAACGGTTTGCTGACCCACTTAAATCGTAACACCGATTCGCTTGGGGCGGGCACATGCTGCATTTGTTTTCCTTCTCGCTTAAAAAGCTTTCATTCAATTAGTGTATTAGTCATAACTTTTGTGTGTGTCTTTTGTTGACTTTCTTTATTATTATTGCCCGCTCGCTAACAGCGGATGTTAGATAACGCTGCCCTTAGCACAAAAGCGATCGCAATTGCGCTCTGTTAGTTAACCCCTGGTTACCCACGAGAAATTTACTAAACTCTTTGCCTAAATTAAAAAAAGTGGTCTAATTGTTTATTAAATAAGTAAGAAGATTTGCTAGATCATTAAAGCTATAACCATTAATCAAAATTATTGTCAAATGTAATTTCTTTCAATTTCTATACAAATTTCTTAAATATTCACTTAAAAATATAAAAAAGTGCTCAGAGATGAATAATTTATATCGAACCATAAAACTTTTTGACTTTAAGTAAAAATTGTATTTATTTTTGTGAATTAAAATAAATAAGTAAACTAATTTCACATACCAACCATAATCGCTGCCTTTAAAGAGCTCGGAATGTTGATTACTAAGGGTTAAATTATCGCTTTGTAAAATTGATAACGGACCCAGGGAATTCAGCAAGTGGCCTTTGTTATGTCAATTATATACTCATGAGTAGGCCGAATGAATCATGTTGGGGGAATCGGATGGCAAAGGGGGTATTTATGGGCTTGTTCGACTGATCCCACCAGCTTAGGTGGCGAATCCGCAGTAAGACTGAAAGATAACCACTTGTGCAAGTGGCTGACATTTAGAGGGGCCACCAAACGTGACTCCATCTGCGGACTGCATGTCCAGGGCATTAACGATTGTACCGATTGCATCGACCTATAAATAGAACCCACCGAAAGATATCGCCAGCAGTTGACCGCATGCACTATCAAATGTCACCAGCCCAGCTCTTCTTCAATTTGCCCTTTTCGTCTTATTGTTTGTTTGCCTCTTCAACTGGCAGACAAACAAACAAAACGGGGAATATGAAATTTTCGTCTTCGTCTGTGGACACAAGTGCATGGCCAAGGGGGCGGGGTCCAGGTCAAGTCTTTGAATTACCTCTGGTAACCACAAACACCACGGGAGTCTGTTCGTTCATTCGATATTGTTAAAGATTGTGATCTGAGGAAACCTTTTTGGGCTCTGCGGTTTGCTCTGCCCCCCTTGCCTTCGATTCTCTTGTGACATTTATTTGGCTCTGCTGGCTTTCATATTTTGTTTATTCAATATAGACTTATAGATATCGATAGTATGGCTAAGGAGTTGATAAGATTTCGCCCCAGGTATTTATTGACTCTCTGATAAAGCCGACAAGGCCAACGGACCTTGTACGTTTTTGTAACTAGAAATGTGGCTGCCAATTGAAATTCCCAAAAGTTAAGAGGTCAGTTTTGCACTGCTCCACTTCCGTTGCCGCAGGGCACAAGGTCTTAATTAAGGCAATTGACGAAGTTCTCATAATTAACCGCCGGCTATAGTTCGGTTTCATAATCGGCGGGTTCATTGGCCAATTGGATGTTTATGCCATTACCTCACCCAGTCAGTGCTGACAACTATCGATCATAGGAAAAAGCCAAGTCAAATTTTGGAAACATGATTTGGAATAGTAATTTTAAAGAACTTACCAGCAAATATTAAATGCAATCTATTTGATCTGAATTAGAATTTAATCATTACGTTTAAGTTGTTTAAAGTCATAGAAGTTGAATAGTAATAAAAAAAAATCTAAAAAAGGCTGGCTAGCAAGTGGGAGTTTATTAGATTTTTATTTTGTATAACCATGTTTATTGTGTTTTGACTTCTTAGGTAGCTAAGAACTAACTTAGGCTACCAAAAGTTACGTTTTTAAATTTTGAAGCCCAATTTAGCAAGCAAATAGCCAAGTTGGCACCTCTGAACCCGGGCTATAAGTCTTGCCCCTCTAATTGCCTGCACCCAAACTCTGGGATTTTGAAGTTGGAGTTGAAGTTGAAGTTGAAGCTGAAGCTGAAGTCATATTCCAGAACCAGACCATACCTGAAGTGATCTGTGTGTGGGCTGGCAGTCGGCGTTTGTCTGACGTCTGTCGACGTCTGTGGAAGCCCTCTCATCCCAACGGCTTGGAACTCGTCGGTTCTCTAATTGCATTTCTCTCAGTGCAGCGGCTTTCATTGTGGGCGTTGCAGAAGGTCGTAAAACCCGAGTATTGTGCACGCACGTCCCAAAAGGTTTTTCTCAATGAAGTTTGGAGAGCCTGTCTAGTCACATACCCTTACCAATATGGGATTTGGAAAGTCGTTTGGCAAAAGCTAATACTTCAATTAATCAATTAATGATTGTAATAAAATAAAACAAAAACGTTAAAGGCTAACAGCATATAAAATTATATTTAAATGAGTGTTAAATTTATCGTTTAGATGTAAATGCATGAAACAAGTTTAATTACTCTCACGACGTTAGACATTAAATTAATCCGTATGGGAAATTACAAATAATAATACGAAGTAGAAGAAAGTGGAAATGGGTGTTTATCGGTGAAATTATTTTAATTTAACACACACTTTTTTAGAATATAAATTATAAAAAATATTTACTGCGGATGCTGACATTGTTGAATTTATTGACTCTATCTCTTTTACAGTTAGTATAAAGAAAAAGTAAGGAAACATTTTTATTGTGTCCTTATTAGACTCTTACTTCGAACTTGTTTAAAGTTTAAATTTTCTTTTTTGAAGGTGGCATAAAGTTATATCTCCAAAAACCATATTTTGCGAAAGGGTATTCATTTCTGACTACCTGTCAAGAGCCTTGCACATTTTTCGTTTTTTTTATGCCGCAGTGGGACCTGGGATTTAATGAACGCTTTTGCGGCTCGGCATCCATATCCATCCCGCTCACAATTCTATTTGGCAGCAGATTTACAACTTCCTTGCAGAAATGTCATTTGCTTTGGCAATTTACGCCCACCTCGGCCGGATGAGGGGGTGGGATATATACCTATGACATGCACTTAAGCCGCTTAGAACCTACATAGTCGTATCGGGGTATATACATATACATATCTTTCGATAGGAATTGCACGACACCGGTGATCGTGAGTCATGATGTATAGGAAAAAAAAAGAGAGTGACGGCGTTTGGGAGAGCTGTGAAGTGTTATGTGTTATCCA